GGGCCCTCTCTAGAACTTTCCCAGAAAGGGGGGGGGGGGGTGCATGGAGGGGAGGTTCTGCTAATCCTTCCCTTGGCGCTTGGTAGTCTTTTATCTTCTACCTTCTGAGGTCTTCTCAAACTTTTTCTTTTTCAGCTTTTCTACAGTCATTCATAGTTACAGTTCCCACCCATTCGCTGGAACTCTCCAGTGGCTTCCTGTCTGAGGAAGCCAAGAACATACATACTCAGGAGTTTCCCAGGGCCCATAAACTGGGACATCACTCTCCAACCACCCTGAAAGAGATACTACGGAGTACCTGCTGAGTGTCTGGAAGCCCCAGGGTCTGTCTGCTCTAAATGGAACCAATTCAGCTACTCTGCCTGTTATAAAGATAAGCCAGCAATAAAGAATTATTCCGAGGACTTTTATTGGGGCCTTCTATTACAAGAGAGATAGTATTCAGGAGGGAAGCCTCCAAGACTGGTCTGAGGAGAGAAGTGGGTGTTTATCTAGCCAGAAAGGGCAAATGATGTTTGTATCCAACTTCCAGTTCTACCAATTCCAAACTTTTAATATACAGTCTGCCAATCGCTGCCTTGTTTTTCATTAAATTCAGTAGCTGCCCCTTAAGCGACTGCTATCCTAATCGGCAATTGCAACTCACATCTTCCAGCAGCAGTTTGGCTGGGCTGGCTGTAGCCAGGCAGGAATTCTGTCCCCTCAGATACCAGCTCTACCACAGTCACTAAAGGAAACTTCATCTAGATCTCTATAGTTCTATAGAACTCAGGATCCAAAGGTTGAGGTGAAATTCTGCTCACTCAGAGAGGCCAAATCAAGTAACTAATCTCCTCTCCTAGCTGGTCTCCTGATAACGGGACAGCCTTCTGTTCAGCCCCCACTTAAGAACCCTAGTTATACATGGTTCCTCCCTACCACTTCCATTCAGCTCAGCCTCCCGACCGAAGGTTAATTTTATTTAATCGAACAAATGTAACATGTCTTTGCACCATCAAACAAATATTTCACAACATAAATGAATATAACACATCTAAAATTAATATTCCACAGCACAGACTTTTTGCTGAGTCTTCAGGGAAGTGTTTTCTTCCACTAGCCTGAATAAGAATTGTTGAAAGATGGGCGGGGCCATTCAGAACAACTGCCATAAGATCATGGTCAAAGAGAACCTCTAGAAGTTGTTAGGTGTTGACTAGAGCAGCTATGAATGGAGCAAGTCCGCTCAAGCAGATGTGGTGGCTTCTGACGGACTGGTTTTCATGACTGGTGTGAATTTTTCTCAGGGCATCCATGAAGGGTTCTAAGCAACCATGATCACTGTCTGGATGATTGTCAAATAAAAAGGTTTCTTGATCGACAGGCTACCACTTAAGGTGGCTGGGCACAAGAAAAAGGTTTGGTAACAGTCAACTAAAAAGTCAAAAGAGTCACTCCTAAAGAGCACATTCAAAAACAGCTAGCCATAAAGGCCTCCTGTGACATTAACACTCTGAACAATATTTAACAGTGTTTAACTCCCAGGCAAATAACCCTTGAGGAAAGCTGAATCCTTGTGATCTGTGTCACCAAAGCCAACTGTGGGCTAATCTGCTCTCTGTTGTGTAAAGGGGAAAACAGAATAGGAAAAAGATAAAGCCCTTCTTTCTCCAATCTTGATGATCTTTTTCAGCACACGCTCGGCTCCCGAGGACAGACCCTAACACATGGCCATCTGCCAGAGGGGATGTGATGTGCACAGTTCCAATCCCACTAGGATGATGAAAAGCAAGTATGCAGTTAAGAGGGAATGACGAAAGAGTGGACTTCAGTAAAAAGGAAAGGCAAGACAAAGGTCAGTCATGTTCTGAGACACACTTTGCAGCAAGAGTCCTCACCTTTGAGACAGAATATGTCAGGTAAGTTTGTGGCAAGGGCCAGCAAAAATTGAAGAATTTATTGGAATTGCATATTGGGAAAAAAAGGCAGGGTAGTGATGGCACACACTTTTAATCCTAGCACTCAGGAGGCAGAGGCAGGCGGATCTCTGTGAGTTCGAGGCCAGCCTGGTCTAGAAGAGCTAGTTCCAGGACAGGCTCCAAAGCTACATAAAAATGCTGTCTTGGTATTCTCTCCAACTGTTAGGCTGCTTGAAAGTATTTTCTCCCTGATACCGGAACCTTCCATCCTTCATAGTAAACGTTTCCTTCCCCTAGCCTGGGTCTTCCTCTTCTACATTCTGGCTTACCTGTGGAATGCCTCTCCCACAACACTTCCTTTCTCATGGTCTTCTCACCAGCCCTTGAGAAAATGGTATTTCCTCCTGGGACTCCCTGGCAGCACAGTTGTTAAGTCAAGGTCAAACTCACTTACTTACAAGGGTCAACACAGTGTTCTTCCAACTTTATTCACATACTAAATACATGGGAACATTCTTTTGTTTGTTTTGTTGTTTGGTTGGTTGATTTGTTTTGGTTTTTGTTTTTTGAGACAGGGTTTCTCTGTGTACCTCTGGTTGTCCTGGATCTCACTGTATAAACCAGGCTGGCCTTGATATCCCAGAGATCCTCCTGCCTCTGCCTCCCTGAGTGTTGGCATTAGAGGCATGTTCCACCACCATCCAGCAATGGGAACATTCTTCACTTTTACAAAAAAAAAATGTACTATGTCAGGTTTTTGCCTTGAATAAAATAGCCTTCATCTTTCATGTTCACAATATGACAAACAGAAAGGAAAAAAAAAACTAAAACATAAAGAAAAAGCTGAGCATGAGAAGAACGCTACTTTCTGTCCCGTCTCAGAGTGGGCTACAGCCCGTTGTTGCTATATCTTCTGACTTTTCAGAAGACAGAAACTGTAGTGTTCTGTGGGAGGAGAAAAGCGTGTTCTTAAAAATGTTAATCTCTACCTTAAAAGAATTTCAATTTTTGTTAAGACTAAAACAGTTTGCTGGATCATCGCCGGCATGCTACTTGTGGCACTACAAATTGGATTAGGTGTTTATCTTATTGTATTTGCTTAATTTACAACTGGAGGCTATGTAATTATGCCTTTGATAGCAATCAATCATCTGTTTCTGTACCCATTCACTGTATTGTGGCGTATCTGATTTAGCCCATCTGTGCAACATGTTGCTCATAGTGCCTTAAACTGGATCCATTCTCTGTATTACGGTGTATTTGGTTCTCAGCCCAACTTTGCAACACGTTGCTCACAGTGCCCTAAAGTTGGGCTACTTTGCTTTCCCTACTATGAAAGCAAATGAAGTTGAGATATGTGCTTTCAAACAGAAGGGTGGAGTCAAGCTAGAGACTTATTTTAACTTTAAGGTTTTTGCCAGTAATCTCTCTGTAAGTCTGTGCACAATGAAGTAGGTCTGATCAACATGCACGTAGAAACAAAGGCAGAGCACATCACTGTACCGAGAACACATGTCACAGTGAGCCACCACACCCAGCACTGCCACAGAGTTCCTTCAAATCTCCTAAATCTGTTCCGAAGGATTCCTCACGTTGAATCCCAACCATCGCAGCCTCCCTATCAATGTTACCTTACATTATATCATAATTGTATGTAATTCACTTTTCCTGTAAGAGCTGGGACAATCTCTCACATCTATCAAGCAAGCAATAAGGAAAGAGTTTTTGCATGAATTATTATCATCATCTAAATAATAGCTACCACTTCCAGAGCACCTGCCATGTGCTGAGCAGTTAACCATGTTATCCTCCGTGCTTTCCCAGACTGGGGCACACAATCTGAAGCCAACCGCCATTACCCTTACCTTACTTATGCAACCTTAATTTTGTTTCTCCATCTAGGGCTTGGTGCTTTATAACATATCCTTCCCCACTCCACCCTAGTGCTGGTGACTGAATCCAGGGCATGGTTCTCAACCTTCCTAGGTTCCTTCAACCCTTCACAACAGTTCCTCATGTTGTGGTGACCACCCTCCCACCCCACACACACACCATAAAATTATTCCGTTGCTACTTCACAAGTGCAATTTTGCTCCTGTTATGAATCACAATGTAAATAACCTGATATATGACCCAAAGGATCGCGATCGTAGGTTGAGAATCGCCGACCTGGGCCTCCTATAGTCTAGGTAAGCATTCTACCACAGAGCTGCTTCCCAGTCCCCTAGAGGCGCTCTTAGTTAGTTCCCAGGTTGACCTTGAACTTTCTCTGTAGCTCAGAACTTAACGAACCTCATTTCTCCAGAGTAGCTGGGGTTTCAGGCTTATAATAACCAGGACCAGCTTCTGACCGATTCTGGTTTCTGGGCAAAATGTCTGCCATCTATCTCTAACAAAGGAGGCATCCTCTCTACTTTGTGCTTGGGAAATAGGAAGTAAGTGGACCAAAACCTGCCACTTTCCCAGGTGAAAACTGACTGGCATACACGTTCGATCTCAGGAAGCACCTTGTGAAACTTTTCTTTAAACTTTAGGACTAATGTGTTGAATACTTTATAGTTCATCCCCTCCAGGGATGGGGAAGCAAAATAAAAAAGGTTGTTTCCATTGTCCTCTTACTGACGTTGGTACAGAATTTTTGCTGCAATAGCCACTTCCTCTGGCTTTCATCCCCTCACACATCTGGTCTTGCCACATCCTGAGAAACCTCTGAAGCCTAGGTTGGCTGAGGAGTCAGCGCTAGATGCTCACAGTGAAAGAGGGGTGCACCACTAGACCCCTCAGTTGGAAGTCTGACTGGAGTGGGGCGCGGGAGAGCCTGGGCTGATAGCCTAGAGCGTCTTTGCAGAGCCACGGGACCCTATGCCCCCCCCCCCCCCCCCCCCCCCGCGATTCTCCGCCTTAAGCTACCTTCCGATTGCACGTGGCCTCCTTTCGCTCCTGAATCCTACTCGCTCAGCAGGCTCCACGTGAAGCTTGACTCACGACCGTCCCGGACGGGCCACGTGAAGCTTGACTCACGACCGTCCCGGACGGCCCCGCCCCCGGCCCCGCCCAGGCTCGCCCCCGGGCCCGCCCACTCGGCCAGCTCTGAACTAGGCTTCTTCGGAGCCCGCCGGCTGCTTGCTGCTGCGGCTGCGCCTCCTTGTTCCTCGCGTCACCGCTGCCGCCATGCCGGGAGGGCTGCTTCTCGGGGACGAAGCCCCCAACTTTGAGGCCAATACCACCATCGGCCCAATCCGCTTCCACGATTTCCTGGGAGACTCGTAAGTGACCACCGCGTCGTCCTGCCAGATGTCAGGTCCCCAGAACTGCCTTCCCGGCTTTTGTCTTCCCCGCTGCGCTCGGCCCCGGCGCGCCGCTGGTTTAGTCCCTCACCGGTTCCCGCACGTGCCCGCTGCCGGGGTTCTGCTGAGCATCCCCGGGCGTTACTGGGGACCTACGACCCCTGGCCTGCCCTTAGCTGATCTCCGGATCCCTTTCCTGACTCAATGTGGCTGGACTGGCATGGGGGAAGGGGTCCTTACCGCGGACGGTTTGTTGTCTATTTAACCTGGCTTTATAAACAATGCTCATTTGTAACGCTGTCAGACCGAAAACCCAGGGGAGGTGGAGCAGGGGTGTGCGGTGTTGGAGGTCACTTCCTGGGACGCTTGCCCAGGGTCGCGCTGCCCGTCCTCTCGCCGCTCTAGAATTTGCACCCGACGGAAAGTGGGTGCAGAAAGCCTTAGAGTACACAGCCACAGATTAGCGAGATTGTTCCGCGTTATCTAAAGTCCTGCTTAACTTCTGAAAGTGGAAGTTTCGGGCTTCTGAAAAATTTTAAAACTACCATGTGCCAAATAAGTAGCCAGAAGACTTTTTGTCCAGAGTCTACGTCAGTGGTCAAAATAAGATTTTTGTGTAACGGCTTTGGGAGGAACCAGGAACACTGTGTGGGTGTGGCTGTCATTCCAGAATAAGCAACAGTTTGAATGTAGTGGCATTTCATTTTTATTTTAATAAGTAAAGCTTGCCTCAAGTTCAGAGAGTTACAGCCGCACTGGCCAGCCTTACAGACCAGGCCGCTGTAACACACACCTTTAATCCCAGTAGCCACACTAATTTGCCATAAAAACCGGGTGGTGCACGCCTTTAATGCCAGAACTAGAGAGGTTTATAAAACAGCTCTCAGTCTCATTCTGAGATTCCTGGAGGCAGGATTGCCATTTCGGATTGAGGTCGAGATAAGAGCCGGAAGGTGGCTCCTTTGCTTTTCGGATCTTCAGCTTGAATCCCAATTTCTCTCTGAGTTTTTATTAATCGCTCTTGAGTTTGCGAGAGGGCGTTGTTCAGCGCCTGAGGCTATTTTGCCACCTTAGGCCATTCCAAGGCCAGGACGCGTGCGTCCTCACTTTGAGACTCTTTTGTTTCCCAGTGGCCCCCTCCCCCTCTGCCTTTGCATCCCGCGCCTGGCCTTGCGGCTGATAACCACAGTGGTGGCCTTTAATGGCGAGGAGTACACCAACGTTGCCTTCGTTTTACAGCTCCTGAGGGCTCTAATGCTCTGTTTCCGTCAACATTTTGCATACGTGTCAGGTTCCCTTGTAGTTCTGGAGTTTCAGTGCCCCTGCTCCATTGTGTGAACAAACTCCTGGGTTTGTGTCCTTTTTATATCCAGTATTCCGGTGTGTGTATGCGGGAAGTCTGTGCAGTTTATGAAACTAACCGGTAATCAGCATTAGAGAACCAGGTGAGGATTCTTGCCTGGCATCCATTTTCCATCTGCTGACCATGGCCACGCAGACGGAGCTTTTCAAAGAGAAGGGCAGGCTAGGAAAAAGTAGCAAATGAACTCTCAGACCCCGCAGAAGAAGACTAGAGTTAAGCGTGACTGCCTGTCTCATCCTCAGAACCTAGGTGTTAATATTTATCCAGGACTGCAGAGAGGATTTACACAGTGTTCTTTCCCGGTCCTGCCTGCAGCCACACCCCCGTGAAATGTGAGACCTTGCTGGAAGTCTTCATGGTATGGATTACAGATAATTGTGACTCTAAAGCACGATCGCTGTGGAGATAACTATGGGGGGAGGTCCTTTGTGGTTGTTTATTGACCTACATCTATCTAGGTTTGCTTTGAAATGCTGTTTCCCATCTGCATCCAGATGTGTACGCCTACTTATTCCAGCAACTCCAACTCAGGAGACCCAGGCAGGAAGATCCTAAATTCAAGGCCAATCTGGACAGTTCACTGAGGCTCTGTCTCTAAAGAAAAACTCAAATCAGTAGCTGGGCCGGTGGTAGGCACGCCTTTAATCCCAGACAGAGGCAAGTGGGTAGAGGCCAGCCTGGTCTACAAAGCGAGTTCCAGGACAGCCAGGACTGTTACATGGGAAAACCTGATCTCAAACAAACAAAAACTAAACTATTTAAATAAGTAAATGAAATGACCTCCTCTTAAGAAGATGAAGTAACCTTCAAAGCAAGCCCAGAAGTGGGCTTAGAGTGACACACGACACCCCTGTCATACCTGAGGAAGGCTTTTCCGCTCTATGTATCATTACAATATGTGGAATTTGCCTATTTTTTTCCCTAACCCTAGCTCCACTCTGTAGATAATCTCAACTCAAACTGCCAATTACGAACTCAAGTATCCTTTGGAGGGAAAGAAAATGAACTTTAAACATTACAGGTGTCTGCTCTGCCTCTTAACACTTGGAAACAAGGATTTGGGTGCTGTGTGAGTTTGCTTAGCTTCGTGTGGCCTCTGGATGTGGAAGATCATCTTCGTAGGGTTCCTCGCTAATCAACACCTACCTGTACCAGAAGTTTTCTGGCAGAAGTAGAGACCCTTCTCTTAGGAGAAGAAAGCTTTTTTCCTATGAAAGTGAGGAAGAAACGGGATGATGTAATTGAATTTCTCCAGAGAGCAGGACAGGTGGGCCCCGGGGAGACAGTCTCGGAATACCCTGAGATAGACTGGAGTGTGTGAAGGAGCGAAAGACCAGTCCCTCAGCATGACTCAGCAAAACACACTTGCCTCACAATTTAAAAAAAAAAATCCAATTCATCGCTTCTAGATAACACATAAAGAAATGCCCTGTTTCTTTTCTTTCTGCATCTTCTGGAGCCTTTCTCTAAGTCGCATTTGAACCTTACATCGGTTCTTTTCCACAGAATCTAAGGGTTAAGTGTCACAGCCAGATTAAATCTTGAAAGATGTCCCTTTTACTGCCCGTATTAAGAATTCAGCGCTGCGTCCCTCCACAGTCTTCAAGCATTGCCTGGCTGTTTTGCAGGGCCTTCCTTCCTTTTAAGAAGAAGGCCTCACCTTGCCCTGGGAGCCGAGTGGGAGGTGTCTGTGGGAAGTAGTAGCTGCGGTGGAAGGCAGTAGCTGCGCCTGCCTTGCTTGAGCTCAGGGAAAGTTACCAAACCCTGAGTATCTAGGCCAGATTGAGCAATCTGCTGGTTTGAGACCTTGCCCCTGGGTGGCTCAAACAGCGGGAGTGCACAGAACCCAGCGCTGCGTTTTCCTTTCACTTGTAAGAACGGCTTCTGTTGCCAAGAAGGAAATAGTGCTCCCCAGTTTCTTGGGAGCCTGAGTCAGCCTCAGGATCTGTACCTTAGACCTTTACCTAAGAATTGTAGAGTGGAAATCTATGTTGTAGGGTATCTGTGTATTTTCTACCTGCTTGGTCTAAAGTGAATCTGCACCTGTTGAAGTATTGGCATGGTGTAAATGTGGCCACCTTGCTCAGCAGGTTAGCTCAGTCAAGTGGCTTTCTGAAAGATTTTGTATCCAGCTGCTTACAGAAAGCCAAGTACCAACCTAAATTCCACCTAGAAATTGAGGCTAGAGCCCTGTCCGCTCTGGATTACATAACCTGTTTATTGCTGTAGCCAGGCATCTATCTGTTTGGATCTGGGACATCGTAGACGCTGAATATCAAAGTTTGTGCCAGAAAACAAACAAAAGTCCTAAGAAATATTTCAATAGAGCCCTTGGCTTGAATAGCACACATTTTATTAACTGAAAAGGAGTCATGGTGACTTCATAATTAAGAAGGGGGCTGGGTATGGTAGTGCACGCTTTTAATCCCAGCACTCAGAAGGCAGAGGCAGGCCCTCTCTCTGAGTTTAAGGCCAACATGATCTACAGGTCAAATCCCAGAACAGCTAGCCAGGGCTGCACAGATGCCCTGCCTCAAAAATAAATAAATAAATAAAACGAGTCCTTTTGAACCATTTATCATGATTTTTTTATATATTGGATATATAAAATTGTATATATTGATAGACACTTGCTGTCCACTTGGGCTTCTCTGGAGGCAAGGTTGGAACTAAATTGTTTAAAAGTCTTCATTAAGCAGACATTTGAAGACAGAAAACCTGTTTTGAATGCAGGTATTGTTTTCATTCTGCCTGATGACAGTACCTGTTCACTAAGTTGTGACCCTCTTCTTCATTCCAGATGGGGCATTCTCTTTTCTCACCCGCGGGACTTTACCCCAGTGTGCACCACAGAGCTTGGCAGAGCGGCAAAGCTGGCGCCAGAGTTTGCCAAGATGAATGTTAAGATGATCGCTCTTTCGATAGATAGTGTTGAGGACCATCTTGCCTGGAGCAAGGTATAGTTCTATCTGTGATTTTAGATGTGTGTGTGTGTTCTTCCTTTCCTGTTGCCTTCCACACAGTTCCTAATATCCTTAACTTCTTGGTGACTAGCAATGTCACGGAAGTCTTTGTGTTCCTTAGTAAGGGAATGGGCACTTTGCTTTCTTCCCCCTCTGTATCAGAAGTATTGATTGGCATTTGACTTTGATTCTGAGGTTATTAGATCTTAGTTACATAGAGTGTAACTTGGTTTCCGAGATGAAAGTGTACATAAACTTGGGGATCAGAAAGTCAGACTTCAACTTCGCAGGATCTCTGGGTTTCTATGTCCAATGATGGATTCTCAGTCACCGTCTTCCCTGGTTCACCAATAGCATTCAGCTCAACTGATCTCTCTAAACCCTACCTCTTTTCCTAGCACTCAGGATGTTGCTTCCAGCTGTCCGTGCGTAGAATCATTCTTCCTTGTCTTCCAGTTCCTAATTTGTGCAGAACTTAGCCCAAGCTTACTTCATAGGCCACTTCCCTTTTCTATCCCTTCATGAGCTCTTTCTTCCGCTCACATCTTCAGGTAACACCCATGAATTGCTTCTCAGAGTCCCATATCCTGGCCTCCAGGTCAGTAAAGCCAGCCTATTCTGCATTTCCCTGGGATATCTAAACCCTCTAAACTTAGCGTATCTAAAATTGGGCCCCATTATTCATTCCAAGATCGTTTCCATCTCCACTATTAGCAGCAACATTTTTGGTGTTGCTGAGTCGAAACTCCAGAGCCATTCCTAACTCCTTGTGTTTTCACATCCCACGTCTGGTTTATCCACACACTCCTCGGCATTCCACAGGAAGTACGTCCATCTGCCTTGCCTATACTGCTTTGGTGCACCTCAAATGCACCTCATTAAAACCCCCTTTTTGTCCTTGTCCAAAATTAGGAGGCATGATGACTCTCTGTGTCACTTCCCATGACACCGTCTAAATCTCTGCAGGTTGCTAATGTTTTCCCCACTTGTGAGTGTAGGACCCTGCCAGGGTAGACTCTAGTTCACTGCTACAGAATAGGTGACGGTCAGTAAATTGTTGAACTTGTATGCTTTGTGCAGAAGTATTTACATGTATTTGGACAGGATGTTTTAATTGACCTTGCTACAGTATACCATGTAATACCTACCATAGGGGTGTGTGTGTGTGTGTGTGTTTATGCACATACCAGGCACTGCCAATCACATACAACACACATTTTGGTGTGTTAGTTGGACTACATCCCATGGCCATTTCACACCAATTAATCCCAAATGTCTAGGATCAAAAGGGTGATGGATAATGAAGGTCACCATCTTCCGTGAGGTAGATTTTTTTCATTCTGCACACCTTGGCAGTAAATGGTAACTGGCATTTCCACAGCAAAGCCCTTTACCATAAGCTATTTTTGTGAATGAGTATTGGGATGATTCCTCGAGCTCAGCCGGTTGGAAAGGGGGACGTCAGTGTGATCAGAACCCCAGCCGGTGTTCTTCCAGTGCTGGCTGGTAAAGAGTGAAAATAAAGACCAAGTAATGTGGTGCTTTGATGTCTGTGAGTGTAATGCACTGTCACAATTAAGCAAGTGACAAGGTCAAGAATTAATGACTATCAATATTAAATCACAGATTGCCAAGGGTTTAGAGTTCACACCTGTATGTACAGGAAGGAACACATACCACACACCTGTAGGTACAGGAACATACCCAGGTTCATTTTACCTGCCCTAAAAGTTTCCAGAATTGTGATTGTCTGGAACAGAAAATAAATCCAAACTTCAATAACAGTGCAAGCTTCAGCATGTGACAGGCCGCATAGGAAAGCGCCAGGTGTGCAGGCAGGAACCCACATTGGTTATTATTTATCTGGTGACTAAACAATAGGCAGCCAGTGACCGACAGCCACAGGCAACGTGGGTAATAAAATTAATGCGTGTGTTCAAGTCCGCTGCTGTCCATTTCAGAGTTTTAATGTCACTCTTATCTCCTCTCATCTCTGAGAAATGCAAAATAGGTTTCAGGTCTGTCCATGAGCTTCACACGGATAGTAAACACCTTTTTCTAATCTTAAATCCGCTTTCTTGTCACTTCCTAAAATCTCACTTTCCTACACTGGTTTATGTGTGGACTTCCTGCATGCTTCCTTAATGTTGACTTCCCCAAATGCCTCGCTTTTCCCAGTGAAAGCCTTCCCGTCTTTCAGAGCCCAGGTAGAAGACATTCCACCTCTTTCTTGCGGCCTTCCTCCCTTCACCCCCAGGGTCCTATAAATTTAGAGTTCAGTGTGGAAAGGGCTTTGGCCTGTGTGTGCCGTACTCTGCTAATACTCCTGCCGGTGAATAATGGCAACCACAGGTGTCCGCTTGTCTCTGACTGAGACCCCGGAGAACATGACTGTGGTGGTTCCTTAGCCTGCAAATTGTTGATTCTTCACTGGTGAAATGCACAGAACTGCGTGAGGTTTAAAATTCTCTTTCCCCTTTCTCCTCCGTTTCAGGACATCAATGCTTACAATGGTGATGAGCCCACAGAAAAGCTCCCGTTCCCCATCATCGATGACAAGAAGAGGGAACTTGCCGTCCTTTTGGGCATGCTGGATCCGTCAGAGAAGGATGAAAAGGGCATGCCCGTGACGGCCCGTGTGGTGAGTCCTACAGCCCCATGGGATTGAGCTGACTCAAGGAAACGGGAGGAATATCTACTGTTCTGAGGCAGTGTGAGCCAGTGGCTGTCCTTTAATATCCGGATGCTGGGGCAGAGTGGCTGAATAGTCAGCCCAAACTTGTTTAATTTGTAGCTGTTGGATGTATCTACACATCAATGAGTAGTTCATCCAAAACTGTTTGCTAGTGTTTAAAAAAAAAAGAATCTGTATTACCTCCTGCCGGCCATCTTTAAAGCAGTCTGACAGGCCAGTCCTTGGCTCACTGGGGACCAAGCCTGGCGGCCCCGATGCTCAGCTCACGTTAGCAATACGTTCATGATGACCAGCCCTCGGTGGCCTACCACAGCTCCCTGGGGCTCATCCCTTGAAAATGACACTTTCTTCTTTCTGGGACAGCAAACTTTGAAGAGTAACAGAAAAGGGAGTGACCTGTGTCTCGGACAGCTTTGTCTACTCTCTCCCCCGCCCCCCTTTGTTCTCTTTCTGTGTTTTTGCATCTTTGAACACTTTAAATGACGGCAGAGCTTTCTGGAGACTTTGGGACAGGGACCTTAAAACAATGAACTCCAAAGAATTACAGTTTCTCCAGGAATCCCATGCTAGAAGGGAAAGGTGAAGGCATCTGTACCAAGATAAGAACTTTGTTCCCACAGCTCCGAGTAAATGGATATGTATGTGTTCCTGGCATCTGCACTATCTTTTCTATAGCAGTGTTACGCTGGGTCAAGCAAAATAGCTTAGGCAGGTAAGGGCGCCAAACCTGAGGATCTGATTGGCTTCCTGGAACCTATGCAGTGCTGGAGAGAACCAATGCTTGCAAGCTGACCTCTGACCTTCACTATCACACTGGCATGTGTGTACACCTACACCCTCACATGCAAAATAAATAAAATTCTTTTTAAATTACAGAGGACTGTTAGAGCAGCAGTTCTCCACCTGTGGGTCGCCACCCCACTGGAGTGTCAAGCAACCTCTCACAGGGGTCGTATATCAGATCTTTGCATTACTGTTCCTAACAGTAGCAAGTACAGCTGTGTAGTTAAGTAACAACTAAATAACAATAAGTATTATTATAAATAATAGCAACTAATGTAGAGCTAAATAAATAATTTTATGGTTGGAGGATCACCACAACATGAGGAACTGTATTAAAGGGTCACAGCCTTGGGAAGGTTAAGAACCACTGTGTCAGAGGAATTGTGGACAGACTAGGAGTCTTTTACTCCCTGGTTTGGCTGCCCTATAATGAAATCCATTTTCCTTTGCCAGTTCTGTCTTCTCCTCTGGAATAGGGGGAAATGAGGCAGCGAGCTCTTGAACCTGAGCATCTGTCTGTTAACAGCTTTGCTCTCAGACTAAAGAGCCCCCCGCGTGTCTGCTTTACAGGTGTTCATTTTTGGCCCTGACAAGAAACTGAAGCTATCTATCCTCTACCCAGCCACCACTGGCAGGAACTTTGATGAGATTCTCAGAGTAATTAAGTCTCTCCAGCTGACAGCAACAAAACGGGTTGCTACCCCGGTTGATTGGAAGGTAAGGCTGCTCCAGAACAAGCTGCCCCACTTGCCCCTCGGGAAGGTTGAGGGTCAGTCTCTAATGGCCACCTTCAAGATCTGGCTTTCCTGGGGTGTTTCTGTTGCCCCGGTCTAGTATACCTGGAGGATTTGTTTAAGAGATCATTTACACTGTCTACATAAAACAAAACTTTATGATTTTTGCTAACTGTTACAAACTTTCAACACATCTGTCACAATGGTCCCTTTTTTTGTCTAGAAGTTAAACATCCCTAATCCCAAATATCCCAGGTCCACAGCTCCAAAATCAAAAATTTCTCGATGCGTTTCATCACGTCAACTTTTGGAGATCAGAGGCGTTCAACTGGATGTGCACATGCTCCATATCCAAAAACGTCCAAATGTGAAAGAAACATTTCCTCTTTAAATACAGGATACTCGACGTGAAGGATTCGATAAGAATCCCTTCATCTAACCATTACCTGATGAGCAAATATTTATAGTAAAACCTTGTTGGATCTGGACACTGCGGGACTTGTGATCCTAGAGGCCGGGGCTGGAGCATCACAAGTTCAAGCTCAGCCTAGCTACACAACAAGGAAAGAAGAGCTTAGTCGGCTGCTTCACGCCTGTCGTGGCGGCTCCATGACTGTGGTGTGCTGGTGTTACAGAGCTTCTTTTCTCCAAAGCTCCAACCTTGTGCACGTTAGTCTAAGGGAGCACATTCTCGGGCTTGTATATTTGTGTTTGAGCATTTAAGATAAAGTCTCAAGGTCCCCTGTTGCTCGGGCTGGCCTTAAAGCTCACTAGTTTGCCAAGAATGACCTTGAGTTTCTGATCCTCTTGCTTCCTCTCAGGTGCTAGGATTTCAAGCCTGTGCCACCGTGCCCAGTTTTATAAGATTCTGGGGGACTGACTGAACCCAGGGCTTCAAGCATCCCAGTCAAGCACTGTGTTTTATTAGTTAAGCCCTGCCCCCACCCCTTTTAAAATAGGATCTCAGTATTTATAATGGGCTGGCCTTGGATTTTTAATCTCCTACCTCAGGCTTGTGCGTGCTGAGATTACAGGCATGCACCACCACACCTAAATTGTTCATAAACTATTAATACCTAAGAAAGATCTCTGCAGATTAATAGGACAAGATTCACCAAGAGTATCTTAGTATTGCTAACCTGTGTACTGGTTTTTGATTTGTCTGACAAATCATCTGCAAGTCATCTGCATTTTCAGGAAGTTGAGTGGGGAATGGGAGGTGAGAGGGAATGTAGCTCGATCCAATCCTGTAAACCAAGGAGTAGATTTAGAATTACATTTTTATTTATTTATTTATTTATTTAAGATTTCTGTCTCTTCCCCGCCACTGCCTCCCATTTCCCTCCCTCTCCCCCAAACAAGTCCCCCTCCCTCGTCAGCCCAAAGAGCAATCAGGGTTCCCTGCCCTTAAGGTGTGATGGATGGCTGGAAGAGAAAGTATCAGCTCAGGACCCCCAAACCAAGTTCTCAACTCAAAGGAGATTTGCCTCAGAGAGATGAAGACCAGGGAATAAGAGACAAAGACAGGAGATGAGGGCGAGGGGGAAGGGGACAAGAGAAAGGGGCGAGCAATATTTGTGAGGGACACACGGACAAAGGACTCCCTCTGAATAGAGAGGAGACAGTCATGGCACATAGGAAAATGGCGGTTTAAAGGGGGAAACCTTGTGTCCGGCTGGATTGTTTAATTTTAGTTGGGCATGTTAAGGTAGCCAAGGGGGGGCTTTTAGTTGCTGGACTTCAATGCTATGAAAGCTGAACCTTGGTAGTTGGCCTTAGAAGAAGGAAGTGACCAAATAAGGGAAGAGACCTTGGCGGCTAGCTAAATGTTGTTGGATTGTAACCTAAGGATTTTTAGCAAAGCAGAGGGAATGGGGGAGAAGGGCAAGGCCTGCCAGAGCCATGCCTGTCAAGCTCAAGCTGGCTAGAGTCCCTTCTCTGCCCAGCTATGATGGGATTTAAAACCGCGCTGTTTCTACCTTAGATGGAGAAATACTTTCCTAACAAACATGTCAGAAATCAATTTGTAAAACTGTAAGTTCCTCAAGAGAAGAAAAAGTACTAGCTTCCCTTCATTGCCACCATCCTTGACCAATCTCCCGTAGCTAATTCTTATTAAAGACCTTTTACCCTTGCTGTAAGATTGAATTGCACCATCTCCCCAACAGGAGGGCGAAAGCGTCATGGTCCTGCCCACTATCCTTGAAGAGGAAGCCAAAAGTCTATTTCCCAAAGGAGTCTTCACCAAAGATCTCCCGTCTGGCAAGAAGTACCTCCGGTATACCCCGCAGCCTTAAGTCTTTGTGGGAGCTGGCTGCAGCTGCTTGGACACAGTGGACCTGAGGATACCAGCTGACCGCTATCTGTCCTCGCCCAGTTCCATAGAAACCTCCTGCTGTGTGATCACAGCCAAAGTCATTAGGTCACTTTACTACTGGCTCATTAAATGGAAATGGCACCAACACTTTCTTGGGGTTCTTTACTCTGTGTCTTCACCAGCCTTCTACCCCTCCGTCCATCTCAGGGTTCTGCTGACCAGCTTTCTCTGAAATGCATTCTGTAGTAGAAACTCTGACCTCTGCAGGGTTCTGGAGTGTCAGGTAGGGATAGGGGAAGCTCACTCGGCTCCATGGTAGAATGACTATCACCTTTTGTAGCCTCCTTGGAAAATAATGAAATGGGGGAAACTTTCAGTTCTGTATTTTTCGTAAGTAACAAACTTGGGAACAGCCCGGGGAAATTTCTAACTATTGTGCTATCAGGAATCTGATGCGTTTCTATCAAATGGGGGCTCAGAAGAGGCTTCCTTTGCCCTGCCAAGGAGGGAAGGGCACCCAAGACCGCTCATCCCTCCAGGGGTTCCTGTTTGTCTGCTCTGGTGCCATGTACATGTGAACACATCTTGTAAGGACAGGCGGTGACAGAATGGTTCGCCACTAAACTGTCCTAGCAGTAGGTTGCCACTTTCCTGAATTCTGCTTTTTGGGGTTCAACAAATAAAATCCTTTGTTGAAACTGATCAGAAAATTGTGTTGTCACGTTTTGAAGTCCTAGCCTAGAAGACTTAGCCTAAGGAGCAGAAGCAGGCTTCCTTCTTGCTAGGATTGACATGGGTATTTTTCTCCAAGGACAAATAAATAAGATTTCACGTGAAACAGGAGCCACTGAAGGATAGGTTCTCTCACGTGTGTTGGGCCACTTCGTTACTTCCTGTTTGCCTAGGGTCTCAGGAGTAGGTATGTAGATTACAGCCTTAACCTAATGTCTCAGCAGTATAGGGAGACAGAAGAAAGAGCTTTGGGGGACTGGAGAGATGACTCAGCGATTAAGAGGAGGCCCTTAGTTCCCAGCAACCACATGGTGGCCCACAACCATCTCTAGTGGGATCTGCTGCCATCTTTTGGCATAAAAGCATACATTAAGAAAAAAAAAAAGCTTTTGAGATGGTGGTATATATTTTTTCCTACTCCAAACTGAATGGTTTGGGGAATACACAAAGCGACTAGACAGGGTAGAAAGGAGGTCGGTCTAGGTCTGGGTTGCTTGAGCAGTGGATATTTAAGGCAGTGGTGGATCCTGGGTCTGGTGAGAAGCCCCTTGTGTTGTAGACATTACCCAGACAGTTCATTTCCTGACTTCCTTGCCGTTGTCTCCTGTCATTCCCTACCTATCAGGTACCTCACGACTGGCTCTGTTTTAGTGCTTGCTTTCCACGGGAAGTCTGGCTTCAACTTCCTGTTGAGGTTTTTGCTTTCTGTTTGTGATACTATCTTGCTTTGCTGCCCAGGCTGGCCTTGAAATCAGTCCTGCTGCCCCAGCTTCCCAGGTGCCAGGATTTGCGAGAGGACGCCACCACGCCCTGTTAGTTGACACTACAACTAAATCTAAATTGCCATTGTTAGTTGCTCAAACTTGAGTCTAGTTTTTATTGATCAACGGACTGTTTACCACTGAATTAGTAAATTCGAAGCCAGATTCATTGCCTTTTCCCTCATCTCCATAAACGTGTTGCACCTCCTCACGCAGGCTTCTAAATCTTGGCATTTTGACTGTTGCGCCCACATTAATAATGTCAGTATAAAAATTCTTTAAAAACTGAATTCTGGTACTTCTTACTAGACAGTTTTGAGACTGAGGCTTGGTACAAGTATCCTTTACCAAATACAAAATACTCAATATTAGATGGACATTTCCAAGGCATGAGTGATCCTGAACACGATTTTAAATGTTGGGGGGTAGGGATAAATTTTGGACTGAATTTTTTTTTTAATGAATTTTATTATCTATGTAAAGATTTGTTTCTTGAAGCTGAATAATGACTGCAGGAAATTTTTTTGTTGGTTTTGACTTGAAACGGAAACTCACAATGTAGCCCAGACTCCCAACTGCCAGGATTAAAGGTGTCTGTGCTACCTCCGGCCCAAAAAAGTAGGAAAGAAGAGGCAGCTTGAATGGCTCTTCCAGAACTAAGAAATGCTCTATTAGAGCGGACGGCCTTCTAGGTGAGCACAGTGACAAACTGAACTCTAGGGGTGCTTGCCAAAACTGGTTTCACCCCCACCTTCATAAAGAGGCCAAATCAAGCTGTCAGTTCCTACATGCAAGCTGAGGAAATAGAATTTTGACTCTGGCTTGAGTGTATGTTAACTGGTTTTTTCTTTTAAAAAAACAAAATCCTTACCTGGGAACTGGGAAGATATTTAATTGGTGAAATGCTTGCTGTGCCAGGTGTGGTAGGGCAAGCTTGTAATCCTGGCGCTGAGAAGGCAGAGACAGGTGTATCTCTGAGCTACCTGTCCAACCAACCTAAGCTAATCTACAAGCCCCAGCTCTTGTGGCTAACTAGTTCAGAAATGGGTGTGTGATAATTCTTGCCCATGAGACACAAATAGAAGGTTCCTAGGGGTTTCTAGAATTTCTCTGCCCCCCCCCCCACACACACACACAGGGAGAGACAGTGTTGTGTAGGTGAAACTGGCCTTGAACTATTGAACTCTTGGTCTTTCCTCCCAAATGCTAGGATTCTCGGTGTGAGCCACCCACCATGTCATGCTTCTAAAATAATCCTTTAGCTATAGAATAACTCAAAAGGGTCTGGGTTTTGTTTTTTGTCTGCTATTGGTTGTGATCAGGAAAACATGCAACCGCAGAATTAGGACAGAACAGCTGAATAACAATAGAAGGAAAAAAAAGTAGTCTGATAATTTCTACCTTCTGAAAAACCTGTCGTTGGGTTACGTAATGATAATAAATTTCTTTGGTGTTACAGCTTTTGAGTTGTTTTCTAATCATCACCTGAAGCACAAAGCATTCTGTAAATGAAGTATCATCCTTCCGGTCATTTCAAATGCAGGCTAATTGACTTCCTAAGCAAGACTGTAAAGCTGTACCGTTTCCAGTACATCTGGACCACCTACACTTGACTGCAAGATTAAATATGCATTTAATCATTTATGTACTGAGCGGTACGTTCAAATGAAGAGCCCAGGATTGAGAACACAACCATTTACAGGACAGGCCAAGCAACACTGTTGTTGCTCATTGATGTTTCCCTCTCAGGCCTGACAGGTCAGAGTAGCAAGGGGAGGTTCCAGCTCATCTCAGGGTAACAAGCATGTGGCCATGTGACAGTTCTGGTCCAGGAAGAGGACCCTTAACTGCAGAAAGACAAGGCCATCTGTTGTGTAGTGAGAAAACACCCTGGCCAAAAGTGACAGAGAGAAAGGTGTATTTCACTTATTGACTAGGATATAGTCCATCGTTTTGGGGAAGGCAAGGCAAGGAGTGGTCACTTCACATCCCCAATCAAGGACAAAAAGAATAAATGTATTTTTGCTTGAAAGATACTTAATTTTTTTTTCCACTCTTAAACAGTTCAGGGCCCAGCCTATGAAATGGTACCCCCCACACATGACAGGCTGGATCTTCCTACATCAACAGTCAGGGCAATCCCCACCACAAACATGTCCACAGCCGCCGCCCCCCCCCCCCCCCCCGATCTAAGTCATTCCTTAGCAGAGGCTCTTCAGGTAAATTCTACGTTATGAAAAACTGACTATTCAAGCTAAGCAGCCTTCCATCAGAATCAGAGTTCTTCACATGAGAGGCCAGGGCCACGGATGAGGGAGTGGGACACTAGGAGGGACTTGGCCCATGACACTGTCAAGCGGCAGCACCATGTGCTCTTATTTCCAGGCACGTCACATCAGAATGTGAACCCATGTTGTCAGTGCAGTTAGGGTTCTGTAAGGGTGCAGTCACACCTGGCATTTCCTGACACAGTGAAGGCCACTCAGGACCTGCCCTGAGAAGTTTGAAAGCTCAACTTTTTCTCCCATACATTTTTCCTATTCTTACCTGTGTTATTCTTAAAAAATATCCCTGGGCGGGTTGGCGGAGCCCGCCATGAGAAAAAGTGGCTACAGCTTCCCACCAGCTGGAGGGCACAAGCCGCACTGGCGGTGGCGGCCGTAACAGACATATAAGCACAGGAAATAGCCATAAATGTTTATTAAAAAGGAGAAAAAGAGAGAAAGGGAGAGAGAGAAGGAGGAGGAGAGAGGCAAAGCCCCATGTGTACACTGGGAGAGAAAAGCAAGAAGACAGCGATGGCGGGCAGGGACCGAAAGAATAACATTCCCACATCTTGCTTTTAATAAAAAGCAAATTAGACAATCCAGTTTGAAGGAATTGGGGCAGCGAATTCTCGAGACTGCTTCCGGCTGATTGTGGGCGTCGTCTTTGGGGGGGGGCGCGAGAGAAGGCTGGGTGTTGGTCACATCCTAGCATAGCTGGTCTCTTTGTTTCTGACCGACGTTTGTGGCATGGAAATGTCTGGTATCTCTTATCCTGTTTAAGGTATTGGCAGAACAAAGAACAAAGTTAAATTAAGGGAAAAAAAAATTAGGACCAGGGGATTAAGGGGGTATCTGACCTGTTTAAGATGGATTCTTTAATTCGGCTCCCTGGAACTCACAAGAACTCCTTGGGTTTGTGAAAACAGAAGTTTTAGACATATAATGACTGTAGCATAAGAGATAAATTTGGTTTGAAATTTGTTTGGTGAGGTCACCTTGCAAAACCTCTCAGCTGTCAAACTGTCAGAGATCTTTGAGAAGGATAAGATTTTACTTGAGTTACTGATTAAAAAAATGACAGAGAACATACTTGGTTGGCACTCAGAGCTACTCTTTTTTGGGTCCTCCATGGTCGCGGAAGGTTGCACTTTACCTTTGCTGTTTAGCGCAGGGCCTGCCAGGCTCCAGAAGACCCTGTGGGCTAAGAAATCTGTAGGAAAACAGGCCTACCTTGACCTGAGCAGCTAGGCTGTCAATTCCAGTGATTCCATCCACGTCTAGAGGTCTTTACTTTAGATGAAAGGCAGGTTTGCCCAATGGTCAGCGCTCTGCAGTCGAAGCGAAATGTAGAAGGACGGTGTTCTGCACGCTTCTGACTTCTTTGGAGGGAGCAGAGAGCTGCTGCTAGGAGCCAACCTGTCTCTTTTTTGTTGTTGTGAAATGTTTTTAATAATTAAATACTTAAATATCACATTCCCCAGATCTCTGAGCAGTTGAGAGCTGTTTATCAGGTATAACTATAGTATAGAATTTGTTTGGAAAGTTGGGTCTGAGCTTGACCACACTGGCTCTCAGCAGGTGAGATTTACATTTGTAAAAAGGCAGAGAGAGGGAAAAAACTGCTTGTAATATAAGGTTAGTGGCAGAACTGACAATGGTAGAGAACAGCTTAAGAGACTTAAAGGTACATACCAGTTTAAAATATAAGACTCACATTTTGTAGTCTGAAATGAGATGTAATAAATAATTTTTATACGTAGAGAGAGTGAACAAGAATTGGGCAACGTGGACACCTCTGATGGGCCCTGTCAAAGGCATTTAACCATTGCTCAAAACACATTTAGCAGAGTTAGCATGAGGAGTTTAGTGAAAACCGAGTGAAGAGGCAGGGTAAAACTGGGAGTAAAACTGGGAGAGTGTGGTCACATGACCTGGCCCTCTGCCAAGATGACGACCGCCATGTGTAGTCTGCTCTGTTAGAGAGCCCGCCATGCCACAACAAAAGCCGCACAGGGAAGGGGCAGAAGGCTGGAACCGAAAAACGGCTGTGTATAGTTTTAATGGGGCCATTTTTTGGACAGAGACAGATAAGTGTAAGGCAGTAAAGCATGAGGCCGGAGTGATAGGTCTGGATGGCTTGGCTCCCATGGTCAAGGCCATGCAAATACCTGCAAAAACCGTGGCACCTCAAGCCTACAACGAGAATGGCTCCCCGTTAAGGAGAGATGCAGATGGCACGAACCCCCAGGCCCTATGAAAAGGCGTCCGATTCCATAGGGGGGCCTATAACCTAGCTGAATCAACTCGCGGGCAGGAGGGATCCAGCCTAGGTCAGGCCGCACCATAGCGGCGTGCTGCACTGTAGCAGCAGTTACGACGAAAAGAAGGAAGAAAAAGAATGAAAAAAGAAAAAGAGAAAGGACTGGAGGCCCCGGGCCTCCAGGCCGCGGGTGGGCACAGGCTTAGCACAGGAGACAAGCAAAATTGAATGCCAGCGAAGGGAACAACCGAGGCCCTGAAAGCCCGCAGTTGGAGGTCCTCCCATCCCTAAAAACCGTGAAGGGTTGCCAGGAGCTCAATGGTCAATCCCTTGGGTTAAAAGAGATGGTTAAGCTGGCCGAGATGGAGACACTCACGATTAGTTGATTTGTTGTTTGGAGGAGCTGCATCCAGGCAGATGGAACACGTGGTCATTGAAGAGAAGATACTCAGGTCCTGATTCTGCCCCGGGAGGGAACTCAGAGTCCCGGCAGAACTCTGGCCCCAGGTAGAAGTCCGGGGCGCACGAATCATCCGAGTCATGGTACCATTTGTTATTCTTAAAAATATCCCTGGGCGGCCTGGCAGAGCCCGCCATGAGAAAAAGCGGCTACAGCTTCCCACCAGCAGGAGGGCACGAGCCGCACTGGCGGTGGCAGCCATAACAGACATATGAACACAGGAAATAGCCATAAATGTTTATTAAAAAGGAGAAAAAGAGAGAAAGGGAGAGAGAGAGAGAGGGAGGGAGAGAGATAAGGAGGAGGAGAGAGGCAAAGCCCCATGTGTACACTGGGAGAAAAAAGTAAGAAAAGAGCGGTGGCGGGCGAAGGTCAGAAGTTAAAAGGAGTGGGCGTGGCTAGGGCAGGGACCGAAAGAATAACAACCTGTATTATGATTTTCCCAAAACTATTATATATTCTGAGTCTTGTTGATAAGAAATAATGGCTTCTAAAAAGTCATTTATTGACCATAACATTCAACTTTATTTGACTTTTAAAAAGAAAATGGAAAGTCACATCAAGCAGGACTATGAAACGTAAGGATGTGGATTTCTCCTAAGCTTTGCTCCCAGTAACCAAGATTGTAGACCATTCTCCCACTTTTCAGCACATACTAAATTAGAGGGGGAAGATACAAAGTGTCGGAGAGGCATCAGTTATGGCGATTTCACGAGTATTGCGCTTCAGACTCCGACATAAATTGCACACCTCATTTGCCAACTTACTCTGTTACCGTTTGTGCTAAGCTAGGGGAAGGTTTCCTTCCCTCCATTTTAAAGAATTGTGTATTATCCTGAAGAATTTTGAGTATCTCAAGCATAATGCAACTACTCAAGATCTGAAGTGTCTGTGGTCACCCACTGATTGCTTTTGAAATGAAGGCAGCGGCAGACAGCTCAAGCAGTGGCTAAGTCAACATCGTTTGTGCCGGGTGTCAGCTCCACCGTTACCTGACTCCACACATCATAACGGCCGTGCTAATTTGTCTTTCTAAAGAGATGGCCACCTTCAAACTGCAAAAGAAAGGCAAAAACATTAGACTATGAACACTTCAGGAAAAGATTCTTACCAATTAAATGGAATCAAAAATTGCTCGAAGGCTTCTATCTTATTTTTGCTTAAAAGAGCTTAAATACTAAAGTCTCTAAGTTAAGATACAATTAAGATGTATGTTTATAATTTTTATTTGTTTATTTTTACTTTTTTGCTTTTAGCATTTTTTATTGATATTTATTGAGCTCTACATTTTTCTCTGCTCCCCTCCCTGCCTCTCTCCTCCCCCTTCAACCCTCCCCCAAGGTCCCCATGCTCCCAATTTACTCAGGAGATCTTGTCTTTTTCTACTTTCTACTTCTCATGTAGATTAGATCTATGTGAGTCTCTCTTAGTGTCCTCATTGTTGTCTAAGTTCTCTGGGATTGTGGTTTGTAGGCTGGTTTTCTTTGCTTTATGTTTAAAAACCACCTATGAGTGAGTACATGTGATAATTGTCTTTCTGTGTCTGGGTAACCTCACTCAAAATATGTTTATTTTTACTTTATATGCCTCAGCATCTTGCCTGCATGTATGTGTTGTTTTTTCTTCAGTGCAGAGGCCACACTTTGACTGCTCTTCAGCCAGTCATTGCAGCTCCACAGTTACTGGCCTGCTTCTCTGGCAGAGGCCTGGCCACGTAGGTCATGGCCTGGCAGGAATTCTGTCCCCACAGGCACTGGCTCTGTTGCTGTCACCAAATACAGTTTTTAATTAAATCCCTATAGCTCTATTTATCAATAAGGCATGGGAGTCAAAAGCTGGGGTGAAAACCTGCTAGCTCAGAGAAGTTGAGTAGCAACTAGCTGACCTTCCCTCTTTGCTGGTGTCTCTGAAAGGGAGTGTCCTTCCTTCTGCCAAACAAAAAAATCAAAAACCCACGTACTCAAAGCCCCTCCCTACTACTGTCTGTGTGTATCTCTATCATCTTCCAGATATATGATTACTTTCTGTCAATTAGTGGCTAACTCAGCCAGCCCCTGCCCCAAGGCTGATTTTATTCAATTAACGCAAATGCAAACTTGGGGTTCACAGTGCTATCAAATATCCCGCAACATGTATGTATGTGCACCATGTGTGTGCCTAGTGCCTGTAGAACCTGGATTCCCTGGAACTGGAGTTACAGATGGCTGCGAACCACCATGTGGATGCTGAGAGCCAAACTTGGGTCCACTGCAGGAGCAGCAAATACTCTTAACCACTGAGCCATCTCTCCAGCCCCTGTGTGTATTTCTATACTGTAAAGAGATACTGCATTAATTTAATTAGCAATTGATATTACATTAATTCAACTATCAAAAGCATGCTTAAGGAAAAAGAAGGGTAATGAAATTTAAATTCTAGTTAACTTTATGACTGATTACAGAGTCACTGGGAACTTTTTCCATAAATAGTGGACGTGAAAACTTTTTCAAAAATCCCGGGGCCTGTGGGCTGGGACTGTGACTCAGTGGTACTCTGCCCCTGGCAGGCGCACGGGTACTAGCGTGCTTTTAGGCCCTGGGTTCATCCAGTTGCCCAGCCCTGCAAATAACGGAGATAGTGATGACGCCTAGAAGAAAGAGTAACAAGTGTGGAGCCCAGATGTTTGGTTCTCAGGATCTCCACCTGTGAAATGAGGTTCCTTTAGAGGCAAGCAAAGGATGACCCTAGACGAGCCACCTTAACAGAGCTGAGTTGTTTTAAAGGAACTATTGCCCATGACCTTGATAGGAGCAGCTTCCATTTTCTTTTCTGACAAGCACACTGCTTATCACCCTGATAGTAAATGTAGGTAACAGGATTAAATTTACTTTTAGAGTAGCCTCATGGATATCTCCTTGAATATGGAGAGAGAGAAAAAGAGTGTGTGTGTGTGTGTGTGTGTGTGTGTGTGTGTGTGTGTGTGTGTATGTGTGTGTGTGTGTGTGTATGTGTGTTTGAGAGAGAGTATCATATATGTGTGTATCACATGTATCAGGTGTGCGTACCATGTGTGTGTGGTACTGTGTGTGTATCATGTATGTGTGTGTCACGTGTGTGTGCGCCACTTGCATGTCTGTGTGCACGTGGGTGTGCGCATGTGTGTGTATCACTTTTGCTTAGAGGACAGGCTTTTTTAGGGTGAGCTGGTATCTAGCCATTAGAAATCAAAATGAGGGAGGCTAATGAACTCCTATACCCTGTCACCCTGTGAGATCTGCTCATGCACCCCACCCAGAAGTACGCATTGCTTCAGAAGAGCTATTGAGGGACTGAAGAGAGACCCTATCATCCGGGGCACGCAGACAGTTCCTCCACCTGGGTTCTACTCTATTCTGGCCCGGGGTTAACAAGTCCCTTGTCTCCCCAGATCTAGGCATGGCTTCCAGCGTTGTTCAGATTTCTCCACATCAGCTCTGGCAGCTGAAGAGATCAAGAAAAGCGAAAGCAAAACTACACCTGGCTTTGAAAACGTGTTTCAAACTTTCTGGTTTTTACCGTGATGTCTGGGAACCGCAGCAGTGATCAGCACTGAAGGGTATCCCTGAAAGTGTAATAATGGCCTTTATGAATTGGTTGCAACTAGCAGCTGTCTAGTTGTATTTGAGGCCCACTTGATAGGAAGGAACTCATGTCTGATGGTGTAAACCTAGCCATCTCCATGTGCCTAGTGAGGTCAGCCATCTCAGAGGAAAGCCTGCTACTGCCCGTTTCCTAAGCCAGTTTAATGGCCAACCGCACTTTAAATACTCGTTCTTATACCCACAGCTAAGCATAGCTTTCCCGTTCGTCAGGGAAGCTTCTTCTGCAGCAGGCAGAGACCAGTACAGAAAGCCACAGCTAGTCAAAATGCAGAGAACGACTGACTGTGGGCTGCCTGGCTCCATGGGATACATCTACAATGCAGACCTTCTATCCAAGGCTCAGGGAGCACCACAGAAGGTGGTGGACAGAGATGGTCAGAACCAGAGGAACGGGAAATGGGCTGCAAGATTGTGTCCTACATTCGTAAAATCCCAGCAATCTGGCTGCCTAACAAGACCTGAGCAATGACTGCAGTTAACGCAATGCCCCTGTGGATTGGAGAAAACATCCCTAGATGAAGGACTACAATGACAGACTGAGGAGGGAGGAGAATTAACCCCACGTGGAGGTGAACACCCTAAATGGTTATTTGATCACCAAGTGGTCAGCCCCCTCAAAAAATACACATGGAAGCAACACTAAATGGACTCTTCGGGTGGCACGTGTGTGTCTATTTACACAGACATATATGTGAACAACAATGATTACAAAATAAGAGGCCATGAATTTGAAAGGAAAGGGGACCATGAAAGGTGTTAGAAGAAAAAGAAGGGGCAGAAATAATGCAATGATATTTTAACTAAAAATAATACTTTTTAAAGTTTTTGGCTTTATTTTTTTAAGGTCCAAATAAATTTGCCATCCTATTCAGTAATGGTTAATACAAAACTTTTAGTTCAAGCAAACTAACAGTTAATTTGGTTGATACTCTAGGAAGCTGCCTCTGATTGAACTGTGGCTTCCCCCAGCTCAGTTGTCCCAGCCACCCAGATAGCGCATTCTGAAAGGGAGAAGCATGGACGCTCAGACAACAATACCTAAGTCTGACTTGATGGATGTCCCTCCTCATCACACAGATCCTTAGGCTCTGAATTACTAGCAAGGAAGGAGAATGAGGAGAGGAAGCCAGGGTGCGTGTGTCCATTAGACATTTCAGTGTTTGGACGTGCACACGTGTACACAGGCACACTCCACTGCGTGTGTGCCTGGAGGGGTAAGGGAAGATGATGCCCTCCACTGCGTGTGTGCCTGGAGGGGTAAGGGAAGATGATGCCCTCCACTGCGTGTGTGCCTGGAGGGGTAAGGGAAGATGATGCCCTCCACTGCGTGTGTGCCTGGAGGGGTAAGGGAAGATGATGCCCTCCGATGTCTCCCCTATTATGTCTCTGCTTTTTACTCTTTTTCTTTTTTTTTCTTTTCTTTCTTTCTTTATTTTTGTAATTTTTTGTTTTGTTTTGTTTGTTTTGTATTTTTGTTTTCCAAGCCAGGGTTTCTCTATGTATGTATCCTTGGCTGTCCTGGAACTCACGCTGTAGACCAGGCTGGTCTTGAACTCAGAGATCCACCTTTTTAGAGCAGCTGGCCAGTGAGCCCCACAGTTTACCTACCCTCTCTACCCACAAGCCACAGCTCGGTTGTACGGCCATGCTTTTATGTGAAGACTGGGATCCAGCTTCGGTCCTCAGGCTTATGGAATACGCACACTAGCCACTGAGCCATTTTGCCAGCCTTCCAAGTTACACAATTCAAAACAATGGTCCCTGACTTTAGTTTTCAGGTAATACCGTTAGCTTTGTCTCAGTTGGTCTAGTTTAGTGAGCTGTAAGAAGCCGTCTTTTCCTGCTGCTGCGTTTTGCTCCTCCATCCCACTGAATATTTATGTATTTGCTTACAGACAGGGTCTCCTACAGCTTATCCTGCCCTCAGTCTTGCTAGGTAGCTAAGAATGACTTAAGCTCCAGGTCCCAAGTGCTGAGATTATAGGAGAAGGGACTCTGGCCAGTTGGAGTGTGGTGGACACAGCTCTGGCAGGCCTTACCCTTCTCTCCATTCCCTTTGCCTTGCTGAAAACTGCTAGGTTGTATTCCTAACACTAGCCAATACTAGGCCTGCTCCCTTATTTGGCCACTTCCACCTCCTGAGGCTGACTACCAAGGTCCAGTTATCAAAGTATTGAAGTCCAGCAATCAAAAACCCCCTTTGGCTCACCTAAATAACATGCCCAATTAAAATTAAACAACTCATGCTAACACAGGATTTCCTTTGTACCTTTATAAACCACCATTTGCCCATGGGCCAGTCTGTCTCCTCTCTATCCAGGGACAGTCCTTTGTCCCTCAAGGACAAACACCCTACCCCCTCTCCCTTGTTCCATTCCTTATCCCTGTCCTCTGTCCCTCTGGAGCAAATAAATCTCTGTGAAGAGAACTTGGTTTTAGGGATCCTAAGCTGATACTTGTCCCTTCCATAGGTGCATGACATCACGACTGATTGTGCAATTTATTTTAGCTATGTAGATTGATATTCACAATGAGAAAAATCTGTTCCACCAGGCTGTGGTGGCACACACCTTTAATCCCAGCATGCAGGAGGCAGAGGCAGGCAGATCTCTGTGAGTTCAAGACCAACCTGGTCTACAGAGTGAGTTCCAGAACAGACTCCAAAAAAAGCTACACACAGAAACCCTGTCTTGAAAAAATCCCCTCCCCCCCCCCAAAAAAAAAGAAAAAAGAAAAATCTATTCCAAGTGCCCAATTTATTACCTCATCTTTTCTCTTCCAGTTATAGTCTTTCTTGGTTGTTCGAAGATCACCACTGACTGAGGTGAACAGAATAAAAAAACCAGTTAGGAGTATTGGAGTACCGTCTGCTCTCTCCACAAGCCTTCCCCTCGTTTCTTCCTTTGTAACATGCTCCTCAAAATCTAACATCCAGGCTGGCAAGCAGGTTCCCCAAACAAAGCAGCCTGTATACACCCTAGAGCGTACAGTGTGGGCTCCAGAGGAAGGCCTGTTCCCCTGCACAAATCAGTTGATGTCTCACTGACTCTTGCTACATGTGGGAGTGAGGGCTGCATACTGGTAGGTCTCTCTCTTTTTTTTTTTTTTTTTTGATGAAGACCTCAAAATCTACATTTGTAAACGTGAAACTTCTACATGTTTTCCCATGGCAACTCATTGAAATTTTTCAAAGCAAAATATGTGTCAGGGTCCCAACTCAAAGAACTGGGTTGAGACCTGGTCTTAACCATTTGTGAGTTGTGTCTCAAACCCACGAGAGACTACTAATGATTGTGCTCTCCTTTGTCCAGTACCTTCCAGAGAGCCTGAGGCAGGAGAGAACTACTCTCAAAATAGCAACTCATTCAGAATTGCATGGTCTCATGCTCTGTACACTCAGTTATGTTTCAAGGCTGACTCCGTATTCAAGCTGGGACAGGTGGGATGGTGTTGACAGAGCCCAGCAAGGCAAGGACAATGAGCACAGGATGAAGTCCTTGAGTATGTTTCCCCAGAACAAAGCCTTCCTACCTCCTCTTCTCTGTAAAATCAGCGCTCAGCGACATGATTGAGAATTGCCATCTATTGACTTCCGTTACTTAATGACCTCCAAAGTGTAACCAGAGCAATCCAGTCCACTTGTGGCACTGAGTACAGTTTGTAATACTCAAAGAAGGTGGGTCAGGTTTCATATTCCCTTCAGTTGCTGGGAACAGACCAGCTCCCCGCCTTTGACCCCAGGGTGGGAGTCGCTCCTCTCCCCATTTTAATAGCACCCCAACAGCACTTTGTTGACCCACCCGACCAGGGCTGGTTGTTTGTTATCAAGGTGTATGCAGGGAAGGACAGAGGAGAGGCAAGAGCCACATGGATTTTAGTGGCTGATAGGTACACTCCCAAAACCAAAGTGGCAGCCAGCGTGGGCCCTAGAGTGGGGACCACCTCCAATCACTTTGCAGAATTAAAAGACTTTGGCATTTGTCCACATGCTTCAAGGTAGTTATCATCCCTTACCCATGGCAGGGGTAGCTGCATCATTTTTGACAGGTTCAGATGCCAGGATTATCAGAAGCTTGCTTACATCTGAAATTCCCTGGATCTAAAGGCAAAAGAAATAAAAATTAGTCAAAAGAACATCGATCCCCAAGGGCTGCTTCCCAAATGTCTTTGTAAAGAATGCAAGAAACAAGGTGAAACTTAGCACTAGGTCTCCAGCCTAAGCCGTGTGTGTGTGTGTGTGTGTGTGTGTGTGTGTGTCTGTCTGTCTGCCTGTCTGTCTGTCTGTTTCCTTGTCTTCTGAGACAAGGGGCTTGTAAGAGTTAGCCAATAAGAAGTTAGAGCTAATAGGCCAAGCAGTGATTTAATTAATATAGATCCCGTGTGATTATTTTGGGTGTAAGATAGTCGGGCCGTCAGGAACAAACAGGCAGGCCTTCTCAGTCAGATTGGGAGGTCCTTCTTTCTCCCAGCATTCAGTTCTGTCTTCCCTGACTACCTAAGTTCTGCCCTATCAACAGGCCAAGGCAGTTTCTTTATTCATTAACCGATAAAAGCAACATATAGAAAGAAGGACCCAGCTGGGCGGTGGTGACGCACATCTTTAATCCCAACACTCGGGAGGCAGAGGCAGGCTGATCTCTGTGAAGTTTGAGGCCAGCCTGGTCTACAAGAGCTAGTTCCAGGACAAGAACCAAAAGCTACGGAGAAACCCTGTCTCAAAAATCATAAAGAAAGAAGGACCTCCCACACTAGGGGCTGGCCTCCAACTCACTAACATCTCTCTCAGTCAAACTGCTGGGACTCCAACACATATCATACAAACCCAGGCAAGCCCTATCCTTTTACTTCGAAATCCCCTTCCATGTTGTTTCAAAGAAATATTAGGCCAGAAAAATAATTGTCTTTTGCCTATTTGTAGAAGCAAAGCAAAAATGTCTACTTTCCTTATAACCGGACTAGAATACCTCGTTTAGAAAGAAGGGAATGGCCAGCAAGCCATGAATGACTGTTACACCTACACTGAAGATCAACGACTCAAGACCAGCCTTCCCACTGGCTTCCCAGAATGCTAGGAGAGGAACAGTGATTGCACTAAGGTCTCTAAATTCTGAATTATCTCACTGAGTCCTCATACTGGCCTAACTGTTAGGATTTGTGGTGCGGGTGACCCTGGCAGGACGTGGTGGGAGGGGTCGTGGAGAGTGGTAAACAGACAGATACTCCATGCAGAGAGAGCTTGGGTATAGAGTTTATTTAGTGGGTATTGTGTGGGTATAAGGATAAGGAGTTATGGAGGGGAGAAAAAGAGGGAGAGATAGAGGGACAGAGAAAAAGAGGAAAGAGGAAAGGGGGATGAGGAGAGGCTGCCTCTTTAGAATAAGGGATGAAGAGAGAAAGAAGAAGAGAGAAAGCATGAGATCAGATTGGAAGTGGGCAGAGCTTGTCTCTTAAAGAAACAGGGTACCCAGGTGATTGGGTAGGCCAGCATATTTACTATAACACTAACAGCATGGCTGCTGCCTGCATCTTTTTTACATTAAGTAGCAAGCCAAAGATCAAAACAATTGGGCAGCGTGCTTGGTTCCTGCATCCAGTAGGTACCAGTCTACTGTTAAATCCTGGCTCCAAACTTTGCTGTCTTAATGACTAGCTATTTTAAGCAGACAAATAACTGTTGTCATCTGAGTTTTAAAGCTCCTTATGGAGCACAATGCAAAGCAAATAGCTCTTTAGAAATTATACTTTTTACCTGATCACAGGACTTAGGAATAATGCTGGGTGCAACAAGCGATTCTTCTGTCTTGCTATTAATCACATTGCCGTACACAAGAATAACGATTTTCATGGCCACATGATTGAGAGTCATTTCATTATAGCTTGACAGAGTCTCCACATACGCATAATTGGACACCACACACTTCTGAAACTTTAAATCCTACAAGAAAATCACAATTCTTTATAAATCAAACAGACGAATTCATGCTATCAGGAAGGAAACAGGTGCCCTTCTCTGAGTTCCTTGAGGATGTCAGAATGCACGTAAATTCTGGAATTGACAGAATCTATCTAACGTTTAGCATGGCTTTTGCAAATGTCCCTGAATTTGGTTTCCCTGTTTGATGAACAAGCCATCAGTATCACCGTGTGGTCAGCCATGTGCTACTGGACTTCTAGGCTTAACCAGGCTGAAGACTCATAGGTTTTTTCTAGCAGTAAGCAAATGTCTCACTTGACAAGTGAATGTGCAATAATAACAAAGCCCCAAACCAAGGCAAGCCAGGCATTGCATCTGGGCCATACAGCAAGGCTCAGAAACGTAGACTTTGGAATGGAACAGCAGCTGTTGTGGATATACTTGAGTTCGTACCCCAAAGGTTTAGATGAAGCCCCTGTGTCTCCGAATATGACTTTATTTGGGAGTAGAGTCTCTGTAGCCAGGGAAGATGAGGTTATGTAGGAGTGGGGGAACTTTGTAGAACAACTTGAATACAGGCAGAATGCTACATGAAGATAAAGGCACCCAAGTCCAACCCAAGGAAAGAAGGCTGAACCAGATGTTTCCTGTCTGCAGAAGCTCGCCTTGCTTTCGGGGAAACCTTTGGTTGCCAGTCACTGACAGGCAAGCGAAGGACTTATTTTCTGGGGGCATCATCTCAGCCAGGTCACCAAAAACATAAGAAAATTAGCAAACAAGTTATGGAAAATTTTGCAACAAGTAAGGGGAAGAACCTAGAAGTATGGTATCAGGGTTTGAAAATGCGAGAATATTTCAATAGAGTGGAGAAGTAAAGAGCATTCATGAATGTCTGGGGTGCTAAAAGTCTTCTTTGGTTAACTCTTTCATGGGGTTATCAGAAGGAAAAGAGTCCTAAAATCTTCTCACAATTGTTCTCTCTTTTTGTTGCTGTTGTTGTTAGTGTTTAAAAAAAAAAACAGCTTCCCTCTCATTTCAGGTTTTCACACCTAAAATTATTTTTGTTTGTTTTGTTTTTGGCTTTGTTTTAAAGCAGATTCAGTCTGTAGTTGAGGTTGACCTCTCGGTCTTGATCCTCATGCTTCTACCTCCTTACCCTCAGTTGAAAGTGATGTTTTTAAAGGATTGCTTATAAAACCACAATGTCACTAATGAGTTAATAATAACTAATTATGAAATCCTTAGTATCACCTAATAGTCAGGACACAATCAAGTTTCTCAAGTTGTGTAAGATGCGATTTAATACCCAAAGTACTAAATTTGTTTTTTCTGTATTTACATTATTCGATTTGGACAGTCTCTCCTCCCCTTCTTAAAGCCACTGAGTTATTGGGGGAATAAATGAAATGCGTTTTTGCTAGGCAGAATAAATGAGGTTCTGAACTTATCTGATGGGGTAGGGGGGAATCTAATAGATATTCCTTGAGGAGTAAGACTGGAGAGGTAATGGTTAGTGCTGTCAGTTTGAAAGAATCTCGAATCACCTGGGAAGTGGCCCTCTGGGTGTGTCCATGAGGGATTATCTTGACCTGTGAATTAACGTAAAAAGCTCCATCTTCACTGTGGGCAGGACCATTCTCTGGGCAGGGGACCCTGAACTGGCACAGAGTAATGAAGGGAGGCTGAACACTAATCTACATTCATCCCTCTCCACTTCCTGACGGCAGGTGTGCTGTGACAGTGGCATCATCCAGCATCCTTGACTTCACTGCCAGCATGGGCTGTGCCCTTGAACTGTGCCCTCAAATAAACACGGGTGTTGCTTTTGTCAGAATATTTATCACAGCAATAGTGTGGCTAAGTAGGTTGTGGATAAACATTATTGTCCCTGACATTTTATATTGGAACATTCTTATTTACATCATGAATTTGCAAGGCCTGTGAATCAACATGTAAGTATAAAGAATAGTTGTCCTGCTGTTGAAAAAGTTCAACATCCTGGTCTTAATGGCTCATTCTAGACGAGCAATTGTCTTACTCCTCTGGAGAGGCAACATAAACGGAAAAGGCTCTTACTCGCCTTACTCCTCCGCCAAGGTTTTCCTGAAAGTAATTATCGTTTGGAAACAAAACCTGACTGGCTTGGAGGATGCACTGTTTCTAACCCAAGGTTTACAGTAAGCGGAACTCGTTGAGCTTTGGGTCTTTCACCTCCTAGGCTTCTGACTCACAGTAGGGGTGAGAATAAAGACTAAGTCACTTACAAACACAAGACTACAGATGACACTGGCTAGGGGCCGACTGGAACCACTACACTTAGGAGGAAAAGCTCGCCGACAAGTTCTGTAAACCTAAGAGATGTGTGTCCAGGGTTGTTCATTAAGTTCTTCTGATTGGATTGATGATAAGTTCAGCTTTGGGGGTATCTACCTATTCAAAAGCTTCTAATTCTATTCTTTAGAAGGATCTTTGAAATAGCCTGTGACAAGAGGATTAACGGCTCACAGGGATTTAGGATAAGACAGCTGTTAAAACCAACTTTAAAAAATCAAACACCACCTTTCTTTCTCTTTGTCTGAAAAATATGGGATGTACTTCATTTTTAAAAAAAAATTAGTGCCTACAAATGTATTTACATTTTCTTCATATAACTTACCTCACCAGCAATAACTTGTTCAAAATACTGATTTGCAACACCAAGAGCAAGCTTGAGCCATATTTTATATTCCAGAGATGGCCAGAAGACATCAAAACCTTCATATAAATCCTCCAAGGAGATGAAGAAAGCCTGAAATAACAAGGTACCAGGACACAGACAGCTAAATTAAAATCAGTCATTAAACAGGATGGCCACCATCTCCTCAGACAACCAGTTACCAACTCAAGGATACTCTAGCATCAATATGGTATTCTAATATTTAAAAGAATTAGCGTTGTGAAAAGATTATATAATATGATAAAAATCTGTGGTCCAGTGAAAGGTATACACTTTAAAAGTAGCCCCTGAGGGGCTGTAGAGATGGCTCAGCAGTTAAGAGCTCTGGCTTTTCTATAGAGGACCCAGGTGTGGTTCCCAGAACCCAGGTCAGGTGGCTCACAACCATCTGCAACTCCAGCTCCTGGGATCCAATGCCTCTGGCCTCTGCTGTCACCTGTACTCACTCACATACACACACCTGCACACACACACATGTACACACATACACATGATTAAAAATAAAATATTTTTTTAAAAAAAATGTATACCCAGATATTCATCATTCAATAGTTACATTGAAATTCTGGCTCATGAGCCTGAGATTCGGGAAATGGGTTTCTCACCGCAGTTCATTCACAGTGCTCCCGACTTACAGGGTCCCTTTTCAGAAGCAAACTCCTTCCTCTCTGCCAGGACTCCAGCATAATGAATTGTCATGAGCTCATTCAGATCTGTTACTAAATACATCCCTTCTCTCCTCTCCCACAAACAACAATTGGACGATGCACCATTCCTTCCTGCTTCTCCACATCCCCCTAAGACTATGCTCCTTCTATCAGCCTAGAAAACTGAGAACAATTTGTAATAGGAACTGCAGATCTTTTTGGGAGGGTTGTCCACACCAAATGGTATTTCAGTCACTTTTTTGTTGAACCAGTAACTAAAGTGATACTTGGCAAGTGTAAACAAAAGGAAGGGAGTTTGAAAACAAATGAGTATTCTTCCATGCTTTCAGAATGGTGCAATTCACACAGCATAACACTGCAGACCATAACGTCATCTAATCTCCATGGCATCGAAGGACAGGCTTCCTCTCAACTTAAATACAAAGGAAACCAAGACTCAAGGAGGCTAAGTAACTTATCCACAGGCAGGATGCAGCAGAGCTCAGCAGAGATTCATTTGTGAGAGATTAAGTCTCTTTTCTCTGAGCTAGTCCATACTGCTACCATTGGCTGATCATGTGATCAAATAAAATATCACACCCCAACTAGAGAAAAGATACTGGCATTTCTTATCAAGAATTAACTAATAACCTACAACTGAAGTATTTTGTACCTGCAAAGTAGTTTCACAGATGGCAGTATATTCAATTTCACGCTTAAGCAAGCAGCTGAGCTCACCAAGTACATCTCCACTGGTACAGTACTCTGTGTACATAGTCTTGAACTGTCTGTCAGTCCCCCGGTTTGAGTCTAACCCAAAGGTGGGAGATGAGCTATGCAACTGTAGGGGAGAGATTATGAAAAGGGAAATAAAAATATTAAATTCTTTGAGTATTCCAATAGCTTCAACTCTGTCTTACGATTGTTCTAGAGCAAGTTAAAGATTTTTTTTTGACGAGATGTGTCAAGAATTAAGGAAAGAGTTGACTTTCACAAAAGTCATGGTTTAGTCTGTATTTTAACACTTCAAGGCAAAGGTTTTCCTCACATAAAAAGTCAAGTTGTTGACCTAGGAATGTAGCTCGGGGGTACCAGTGATGGAGGTGGGTCTTGTATCTTATCTGTTGCTTTCATTGGTTAACTAATAAAGAAAACTGCTTGGCCTGATAGGACAGAAAATTAGGTAGGCGGAGTAGACAGAACAGAATGCTGGGAGAAAGAAACCAAGTCAGACAGTTGCCATGATTCTTCCACTCCAGACAGACGCAGGTTAAGATCTTTCCTGGTATGCCAGCTCGTGGTGCTACACAGAATATTAGAAATGGGTTAGATCAATATGTAAGAGCTAGCCAATAAGAGGTTAAAACTAATGGGCCAAGCAGTGTTTAAAAGAATACAGTTTCCGTGTAATTATTTCTGGGCATAAGCTAGCTGGCGGCCAGGAGCCGGGCAGCAGGAACGCGGCCCGCAGCTCCTTCAAAATACCAGCACTGGCCTAACATGCTTGAGGCTTCAAGTTCAATCCTTAGCACTGAAAAACAAAACAAAAAAAAAAAAAACAAGATTCTTTTAAGGATTAAATAACAAATCACATTGCCTTTCTCAAGTACTTTTATAAACCTTAAGAGTAACCTCTTCCTTTCTCCATCACTTTTAACATACTCCTGGTTGGAGAGCCCTAACCTAAGCTAAATCTAAAATGCTCTGAAATCTAAAATGCTCCAAAATCTGAAAATTTTTGAGGAGTGAAATATCACCATTGATGGAAAATTCTACGCTTGATCTTGTGGGATGGATCACAATAAAAATACTGTATACAACTGCCTTTAAGATATGTAGAAGGCTTACAAAGAAACAAAAATGAATTTCATGTTTAGACTTGAACATTACTCCAAAGAGATCTCATTTCCAGGCTGAGAATAAGGATGAGCCACCCACAGAATTCCTGGTGTCAGAAGAAAGACTCATCTATCAGGAGAAGAGATACCATGTGTATATTTTCTGACTCTTGTTTACATTCTGTTCATTTTTATGAGAAATGCATAAAGAGATAGAGAATTGTCCTCTTCCCAGTTATAGACAAAGCTGCAATAAATTATTTTTCCCATTCTTTATGCTATGTTGTTTTCTTCATAGGCAGTGAGAGACACTAACACTTTGAAAGAAGAGAGGGGGAGAGACAGACAGACAGACAGACAGACAGACAGGCAGGCAGACAGACAGACAGGCAGACAGAGAGACAGAATAGTGGCACAGTCCTATAGTCCCTGCACTTGGTAGGCAGAGGCAGGTGGATCTCTGGATTCGAATCAAGTCTGATCTCCAGAGTTCCAGGACAGCCAGATCTATACACAGAAACACTCTCTCAAAAAAACAAAACAAACAAAAATTCTCAGGACCAGATAGCCACAGGTAAGATTCTGGGGGTGCCATATCCAAAAGACCCAACATATTGTCCCTTCCTGGCCACCAGTTTTGTTACCAGAAACACACACACACACACACACACACACACACACACACACACATATACACAAAGTCTGTCAACTTCTCATAACCTAGAATAACCTGAGATGAGTCTCAAATGAGGAATGATCTAAGCCAGGCACTTCTATGGACATGTCTGTGAGGCATTGTCTTGATTTTTTAAATTGACCTGACCACTGTGGGTAGCATGATTCCCTAGGCAGAACCCTGAACTTTACAAGAGTGAAGAAAAATGGTTGAGCACAGGCAAGCAATGATGAGTTTGCTCAGTCTTTACATCAGAGGTCCTATGGGGGCATCTTTATCCCTGGCATGAAAATTTCCTGGAGAAATCCTTATTCATAGGATACCTCTTTTACAATACTAAATGTGTATATATTTAACTTATTTTATATACCATGTCCTTTCTTTTTATCCTTCCACTGGAAAATAAGTTCCAAATGAGCTGAGATTTCTGTCAGTTTTTTCAACCCAGTGCTTACTCATGATAGCAAAAAGTAATCTGTTCAATCAACAAACTAAACTGCCTAGAATCAAATCCCTGGTATTACATTATTTCTTCATATTATTTTTATCACAGTAGCTTATTTTCATTAGTGTGAAAGTTTCTGAAATACTCATTTTAAAATTCAAAAGCTAAATATACTCTTTTCCCTAGGATAAAGGCTTGTCACATAAAATCATCAGCTGGGAACTAGGAACTGATCAGTGTATAAGCCACGCTGACCACTGTAGTCAACTACTAAGATATCAGTATGAAGGAGGAGACAGGATTCTTGCCTCCCATCACACTACAGAATTCATATTCTATCTATCTATCTATCTATCTATCTATCTATCTATCTATCTTGTGTGGGACAATTGTCTATATTCTGTCAATTATGTTTTAAATAAAACGCTGATTGGCCTGTAGCCAGGCAGGAAGTATAGGCAGGACAACTAGACAGGAAGTAGAGGCAGGTCAATGAGAACAGGAGAATTCTGGGAAGGAGGAAGCCCATTCCTCCCCAGTCCTGTCCAGACACTGAAGAAGCAAGATGTGACCTGAGAGACATGTGTACTGAGACATGCGGCTAACATAGACAAGAATAATGGGTTAATATAAGTTAAAAGAGTTAATAAGAAGCTTGAGCTAATGGGCCAATCAGTTTATCACTAATATAGACCTCTGTGTGATTTCTTTGGAGCTAAATAGCTGTGGGACCTGGTGGGAGGACAGAAACCAGGCAGGAGAGAAACTCAGACAACATCTGTCTATCTATCTATCTATCTATCTATCTATCTCTATCTCCTCAAACAAATGTCTCCTCATTGATCAACTGAAAAGTTTTGTTTTGTTCTTCATCCAACTTGACCTGTGAGATTCAGAGCTGCAGCCAAGCCCTTATGCCTGAACGGTCATTTAGGTAAATGAGTTCAAGTGCTTACTGGTTTCCACGCCTGAACTACTAATTCCTCCAGCTTTTTTGTGAAGAGTAAGTAACAACTCTGAGTGCACTTTGTAAAATGGGAAGCACATTCGAGTATTAAGTGTGAAGATTCTGTCGCGGCCGCCATCCTTACTCTCCACAGGAATGGTATCATGTGGAAGAGACATACAATTTCAAGCTTTTCAGCTCCAGAACTTACCCCTAAGTTACAACTGTATATTCAAAATGCATTTAAATGAAGAAAAATTAGTTGTTCTTACACTTGCCATTCCTGAAATAATTAAGAAGATTCCTTGGGGCATTTCACCTTCTCTACAGATGATATCGCCGTAGTCAAAATAGGTGAGTCGAGTTCTTTCCTGAATGGCAAAATAAAGTAGGGGAGAGCTCAATCCTAAAATTTCGTAGACCACTTGTCTAAACAGAAATAAGGTTTTAAAATTAAAAATAGTTTTCAAATAGCATAACAAAGGAAAACATCTTCTGGGATTCTTAGTTATAGTATATGTACATATCACATCAATTTGAAGAAATAAAAACACAGGCAAACAAGAAAAAACTTCATGCTGAGTACTTATCACAGCAAATAATGCTAGCACCCAGTAAATGATCAAGGGATGACTGAGTAAATGAACAAATAAGAAAGTGTTTAACCCTCACTGGGGCTTGGGCTGCAAATGTCAAGCCAGGCAGCCCACTCTGGGCCACAGAAGGGCTTTTAGGTGGGACAGGTGTTGTCAATAAAGTGTGGTGGTTGTGGCAATGGAGATGAGAATGGGGCACTTGGAGACGGAGAGGAAAGGAGACGGGGTTTTTCCCAGTTGTTTGTGATACCCTCACCAGCAAGGTGGGGATAGCTAAGCTGAATCCCGAAAGAAGAGCAGCAGATAGCAGATACATGTGAAAAGACCTAGTAGCAAATACAATGTATACAGTTGAGATAACTGCAAAATATTAAGTATATCTCAAGCAGAGACAGAGACCAGACTTAGCAATCCCTAAGCATCAGAATATTGTAGGTATCTGGGGCTCCAGATAATTTATATACTCACAGAAATGTTTAAATTCTTTTAAAACAGTAATGAGAATAACGTTTTTTATAAAGAAAATGCTTTAATATATTCATTTTTAGTGTGTATGATGTGTGAGTTGATATGTATAATGTGTGTCTGTGTATGTGTTTGTGTGTATATTTGCATGTGAAGTCAGAAGATAATCTTGGGTGTCTGTCCTGGCCTTGCACCTTGTTTGAGACAGGGTCTCTTGAGACACTGTGTGCACTAGGCTTCCTGGCCACAAGCTTCCAGGAATTTTCCTGTTGCCTTCCATCTCACCACAAGCTGGGACTACAGAGGTGTGCTACTGTGTCCAGCTTTATGTGTATTCTAGGGACGCAAATTCGGGTCCACATGCCAGCCATAGCAAACACTTTCCCATCTCCCCAGTCTAATATCCTTATTTTTATAATAACACCAACAGATACAAAGTAGAATTTTCTACATATTTTTGTGGAGGAACAGGCCTACAAAAGCAAAATTGCTTAAGTCCTCTCCCCACAAAAGTCATAGCATAACCAAGTCCAGATCCAGGTCTTGAAGACACTCATGAGCGTAGAAAAGAGTTTGGGCTTTAAACAAAGTGAGCTAGTGAAGGGATTGTAATAGGAAAACTATGGTGGTAGTTGTCATTTGAGAAATAAATGCAATCAACAGGTTTCCAAATCACCCATACTGGCCATCTCAGAGCGTGGAGTTGAGAAAAGCAGCTCTCACCCCACACTCTACGCGGTTCTCAATTGTGTGATGGCGTGCAAGCACTGGCAAGGCTACAGATAGAAATCCAAGGGATCTAAGGTTAATGACTTGTTTATGTATTATTTCAGCCTTGGTTTTCTACCAACCTCTTTACACTGATCTTTATAGACTATTCTCGTGTGTGTGTGTGTGTGTGTGTGTGTGTGTGTGTGTGTGTGTATGGAGGGCAGAGGACAGTCCCAGGTCTTGGTCCTCACCTTCTACAATGTTTGAGACAAGGTCTCTTTTTCATTGTTCACTTCTTCATACTCAAAGACAGCTGATCTAGGAGCTGGCAGGAATACCTGTCTCTGCCTTCTCTCTCACCGTGGGACACTGGGACTATAGACATGTGCTACTACACCCCACTTCACACGGGTTCTGGGGATATGAACTCAGGTCCTCACGCTGGCACGGCACATGCTTTACCTACTGCGCTGTCTCCCCAGACTGATAATTGCCATTGTAATTAACTGTTGGGAGTTGGAAGCAGGGAGCAGTAGAGAAAGTTAGCTTTGCATTTGGCTCCTCATAGCTAGGACAGACAGTGAGGATGAACTCATCTACAATAAGAGATGCTTCTGCTCTTTTGTCTTGCGGATTTGTCAACCCAGGCAAGAGTACTGGGCTGTTGCTGATTAAAAAGACAACCACAAGTTTCTAACTCGGTGTGAGTTTTAGCCTGGTGAAATCTGACTTAGATGGCAAAACTTAGGAAAGTTAGGAGTCACCTAACCAGCGCATTGCATCTGTAGGCAGAGGGGGAAAACCCAACAGCCCTGCAGAGTGTGACTAACTGTGGAGGAAAGGAAGGCCGTGCCCGAGCTGTCCATAAAGATGTTTGTGAGTCCTTAGCATGTGGAGTTATCTTCTCATCCTTCTCTTTGGGCTGACAAGGGAGGAGGCAGAAATCTTTAATAAATAAATAAAAAAATGAAAAAAATTTTGGTTGTTTGAAAGCCACTTGGTCTGTAGTACTTTGCTATAGCAAATCAACCTATGATAGCCAAATGGCTCTTCACTTGTGAAAGCAACCACATTCTTCAGAACATTTTCTCCTTGTTTAAATTGGATTTCTGATGTCTTCAATAAAAAAAAGCTTATTTAATTAAAGTCATATTTCTGATAAGCATTTCTTTAGTCATTGGTTGGGGCAGGGGAAATGTTTACATCCTGTACCAGAACAGAAGACGTTATTACCTTGAAGAACTCAATGAGAACATCTTTATTTTCCATCCAAACGATGTTGGGTAGGTATTTGTCTGGGGTTGGAGGTGGGATTGCCATTGGAAAGTTATTCAAGGCTTTTATTTTTGTAAGAAGTACCTAAAAATGAACATGAGTAATTATGGTGATCATTTCTGTGACAAAAAAAAAAAGGCATGAAGTCAAAACCAAGGAAATCTAAATGCTAAATACGCTTCTGCTGTACGGACTTTGACTCACAACCCCCGCTCCCCACTGCCGTGTGTATTATACTCTTCTTGTTCCTGTTACCTTCCTCTTATTTCACTTATTAACTCAGATCAAACTTCTCATCTTTATAATTCAATTATTACATCCTACCCTCTCTTACACACAGAGAGAGAGAGAGAGAGAGAGAGAGAGAGAGAGAGCCCTACAAATATGTTATGGTCTCCACAAATGCCCCAGTCGGTGGAATTGTGCAATACAAATTTTACCAGTAAATGGAGAAGAGGGAATCAATCAATCAATCTGAGTCTAGCTAACAAGCCAGAGGAATGTTTCAGAGACAATCCTGATAAGAAGTAAGGAATCTTGAAATTTTTCTAAGTCTTTCTTTAAGTCCCTTCCTGAAGCCTGGGCACACAGCCTGCAAGTCCTCTGTGTCCTGTTTTTTATTAAATCTCCACGCTTGCTTCTTCACTGAATTTAACTGAAGTTGGCTTTAGTTGCTTGAGTCAAGGTGTTCCAACTGCTGGAGCATGCCAGGCAGCACTGGCTTTGATTGCCACGGGCATTAAGAATGCCCGGAATTGTCAAAGTAGCTCCTGTGGTTAACCGCTTTCCCCAAACTCCTCCTCTCATTACACCCTGGGACTCCTGAGCTTCCAGAATCACACAAGGTGGGGACCGCATTACTACCTTATTCATTTCAATGCCCTCGTGCTTGTCAATGATGCCTCTTGACCAGAGGAAGGTGAGGTTTTTCAGGGCTTTAGCAATCACATGGCGGATGGCCTGCTTTGTCTTCAGGGCAATGACAACATCGCGTCCTTCGTGCTCTAGGAGCCCTGGGAAAGAATAGACTTGGTAAGCAACCTACGCAGTAACCACAATAACAACTAATATTGTACCATAGCCTTTCATTCTCACAGAACTCCTGGGGCTAGTAGGGTGAATTTGCATCCCATCAAATGGATGAGAAGATTGAAAACTAGTTTCTCCCACAACTACACCACTCTCTGTCTTATCCCCCATGGTATCTCACTACCTATTTCTGTGTCAAAACTCAGTTCACTAGAGTATTGTTTTGACATCTCTGCCTCATCCTCTATGTATTCTTTGGTGGTTGGATGACTAAACGCCTTTCGTTAGAAAAAACATCTGGTGTGAGATCAAGTGACATTCTCATTCCTTTGTAATAATACAAGAAGTCAGGGACTAGACTCTCGGCCAAAATTAGCATTTTATGTGTCATCTTTACGTTGAGCACCATGTCTGATGTATGTATGGAAGGTACTTACACATCTTTTTTCACTAAAATGAGGTGACCAGTAAAATAAAGGGTAGCCATGATCTAGAGCATAGATTTTTAGTACCAGATCCACCAAAGCTAGAGATCTGACTGCCACCTACTAGCCACGTGGCCTCAGGCAAGCTAACCACGCTAAGCAAAACAACTTCTTGTCAAAGCTAACCTTTGTGTGTTTCTTCCTAAAAACCTTGAGGGCCCTGACCTTGCATCTGAGCAGACACCCCTGCCTCCACCTTTTCCCTACACTGACACAGCACCTGCCAGGCTCTCTCTAATGTTCTGTACCAGGCTTCCTTCTTTCAGGCTGCCTGCCAGATCCCAAACCATGACATGGAGACTTCTTACTAGTTATGAGTGTATGGCCTAACTTAGGCTTGTTTCTGGCTAACTCTTTTAACTTAAGTTAACCTGTTCCTCTTTATCTACCTTGTGCCTGGAGCTTCTTGCCTTTCTTTCTTTCTGTATTTCTTACTTTTCTGCTACAGAGCCCTGAGGAGTATCTGTCAAGAAAAGGCTCCCCCAGGGAGACAGGGGTTGCATCTCTGTGCAACCTTCCCTATTACAAAAGGACAAATGTTCACTGAAGAGTTGAAAAGCTTAAATAATAGAGTGTATGCCCACAGAGGAAGGAGAAAATACCCATCTGTGGTTGAATTCCTCCAGAGAGTTCTCTGGCTCTTTGGAATTTTTTCTTCCCAGAACTTTTTCACTCTGACACCAACAGAATTGTGCTGTCAGTGACCCACAATCAGAGCGGGAGCTCTAATCCATGTGACCAGTGTCACATGCAGGAGCTCTAATCCATGTGACCATATTTAGAAAAGGGCCTTCACAGAGGTGATGAGGCTTAAAGGGTGCCATAACGGTGGAGTCCCCACTGTGTAAAGATGGGTTCTCATCCTTATAAGAGAAATTGGGTACCAGAGTTCCTCTGTCCATGCAGAAAAGGTCAAATGGGGACACAGCAATGAGGCAGCCATATTTACCCCCCAAGAAGCCAGGCTTCACCAGAAACCAACCTCGATAGCACCATGATCTGGGATGTTGGCCTTCTGAAGCACAGAAAAATAAAATCTATAGACTCGCAAAACAAAACAGAGAAGCAAATGCTCCAACCACTCACCTAGTTCTTTAATAGCCTCTCGTTTGTTTTTTTCTAAAATGTCATACAGTTTCTGTAAGAAATTAAGGAATGGTTCTTATTACACCAAGTACAATCCTGGTTTTATCACCTGAGAAAAAGTTAAAGAAGCGTCACAAAGGAATTCTCACTTAGTTTGATTTCGGGGAACTTTTGTCTTCCAGAAGAATTTCACTGTATTCCCCAGACTGGGACTCACATTGCTATGAATGGTGCAAGGCTGATGTTTTGCATAAGTACCTTGCTTTACTGTAACTGTTTTTATTTTGAAAGAAAGAAAGGAAGGAAGGAAGGAAGAAAGGAAGAAAGAAAACAGGGAGGGAGGGAAGGAGGAAGGAAAGTACCCTTCACTCCACTGTGCACCACTAAGAATTCTCATTGGCAGAGACCTATTTGAATGCATGCCTAGGGAAACAGCTATTTGGGGATCTACTTTGCCAAGAGCACATTAACAAGTGGAATGGTGTGGACATGCTCTGTAAACGAGTTCATGCTCCTAAAAGCCACTCCTTAAATAATCGGAGAAGTAACTCCACACTGAGGCAAACAGATGGTGTGATTGCTTTTTCAACCCCACGACAGCTACTGTGGGCTGCTCACTGTGTCCCAGGCACTGCTCCTCATAAAGCTCACTCCAGCTGTCAGTCTTTCCGGAGCATTTTCTTAGCCATACCAACTCGGAGGCAACAAAGCACAGTCCCCTGGGTTGTCACATATGGGTGCCTGCAATGCCCTCAGATACTGCATTGACGCTGAGACAAAAGTGCATAGTCCCCTGGGTTGCCACATACAGGCACCTGAAAGTCATTCAGATACTGCTTATCGGAAACAATAGGTTTGTTATCTGAAGCTTAAACAAAAAGAAATTGTTTTTTCCTGTTTGTTTGGACTTTTAAAAAATTACACCTAGTAAATCCCTTTCTTTGTATATGCAAATGAGATATGTCATCTTTTATGAAACACTTCGATATTAGTAATAGTATTAGACATGGCATCAACATACTCATGTCCAGCCCTTTTTGAATTATGCTAAGTCTTCTTTGTGCAGAACTGAATTTATGTTCACACTGAGATTCTGGGCAACAGTACCCTGCCTTCAAAGATACCACTACCAGAGAAGCAATGTCGGTCACCTCACTGCAGGTAAACTGCCATAGGCCAGTTTCCAGAAACACCCGGTGTTGTGGAATTTAGTTTAAGATGTGTTACATTCGTTTATGCTGTGGGACATTTGTTTAATGACGCGAAGGTGTGTGGCATTCTTTTAGGCTGCATTTGTCTAACTCTGTGAAGCTGTGTATCTTTGTCTGTCTAAAACCTGATTGGTCAAATAAGGAGCCAATAGCAAGGCAGGAATGAGGACAGGTAGGGCTGGCAGACAGAATAAATAGGAAGAGAAATCTGGAAAAGGAAATCAAGGAGGAACAAGAAGGAGAAGGACTCCAGGGAGCCAGTCACCCAGCTTCACAGCAAGCCACAGAACAAGAAGTAAAGAAAGATATAGAGAACAGAGAAAGATAAAAATCCAGAGGCAAAAGGCAGATGGGATAATTTAAATTAAGAAAAGCTGGCTAGAAACAAGCCAAGCGAAGGCCGGGCATTCATAAGAAAGAATAAGCCTCCGTGTATTTATTTGGGAGCTGGGTGGTGCCCCCCAAAGAACAAAGAGACAAAAAAGTAAAAAAACAACCCAGTCACTTCAGAAGAAGCAGCTACCTAATACATATCTCAAAAAGTCACTGAAGTCTTTACTGAAGTCCTCTGTTTCTGAATTTTTATTTTCTTTTATGTGTAGGGGTGTTTCATCCAAATTTATGTCTGCACCATATGAGTGCTTGGTACCTGGGGGAGTAGATGCCAGCATCACATCCCTGGAGCTAGAGCTAAAGATGACTGTGAGGTGCCATGTGCTGCTGAGAAATGGATATGGAGCCTCTGAAAGAACAGCCAGTGCTCTTAACCACTGGGTCATCTCTCCCTTTAAAGTGCCAATGGAGGCTTCTTTTCTACCTTAGCTATCAAGGCAACTCCTCCAGATCCCTCTGCCAGCTCCTAAATGTCTCCAAACGTCCTTAGAGCCCTTCCTTAGCGCCCTTCCCAGTTTGTCTTCTCTCATCTTCCTCCTTCTAAAGCCTTTTCCCCTGTGAACTTCTCCACATTCTCTGTTTTGTTTCTTTGTTTTCTGTTTGGGGAGGGCTGTGGCAGGGGAGGGAAAGGGTCCCATTATGTAGCCTCAAGCAACCTAGAACTCACTGTGTTGTCCAGTATAACCTAGAAACAATTCCCACTTTTGAAATGGGACATCAAGGGAGCAGAAGGCATGCAGGAAACAGAAACTTTTCAAATAAGAGATTCAAGAGACAGAAAGAGGGAGAGAGAGAGAGGGGAAGAAAGAAAGAGGGAGAGAGAGGAAGAAAGAAGGAGGGAGGGAGGGAGGAAGAGAAATCATTGCTTGGAGAAAGAAATAATCAAAATGATGGTCAAAAAAAATTAAAGCAACATTTTAATGGGTCTGCAAATGAACAGAAAGAATGCAACAGAGGGCTAGCGAACACGCAGAGGGCTAGAGAACACGCAGAGGGCTAACGAACACGCAGAGGACTAGAGAACACGCAGAGGGCTAGAGAACACGCAGAGGACTAGAGAACACGCAGAGGGCTAGAGAACACGCAGAGGGCTAGCGAACATGCAGAGGGCTAGAGAACACGCAGAGGGCTAGCGAACACGCAGAGGGCTAAGCATTACATTTAACAGGGGCTGTTTCTGGCTGGGCGGGAGCAAGCGGAGTCACTTTTACTTGCCAACTCTTCTTGGACCAGTGACTCATCACGACTCACTCACTCTTTACACCCATCTCACTACCAGTACTGTTCCCACGACCATCAGCTTCACCATGAGGCTCCGTAAGCGCCCAGCTCACATTTGGCTTTGTTCAGCATTTTCAGTTCTCTTTTTGGTGGGTAATCATCATCATCATCATTATTGCTTTTGCTTGTTGTGTCTTGTCTTGTTTTGTTTGAGGTAGGGTCTCACAGAGCACACCCAAGTGCATACACACACAACCATACACCCACATATGTGCGTATGCACACACATACACACACATACACACATGAAAGTTTATACTGTTCTCTGAAGAACCTTGTATAACAAACATTTGAACCTGTGTTGACTACTGAGATCTGTCTGTTGGTCACATACCTGACAAGCTGATCCTAAAGACATGAGTATACCTAGGTAAGGTAATTCCCATCCACCCCGTCCTCTGCCTGTTTCTCACCTGATAGATTGATTCACGACCAGAAATTTGCCTGACCAAAAGTTTGGCATCTTCCTGACTTTTGACATAGCCTTTTGTAATACTGTACATCAAACTGAGGCTCTTCTTGATCTGTACGTCCGCAATATTTATTAGTATTGGTATTATAATCTGGAGCAATAAGGTGAAGGAAAAATCATGCATTTAATTGTTTTCTCTTTCATGAGGGTCGAGTTTACAATGCTATGGGCATACACGTAAGCAGGAGAGAGTGTAGGTACAGGCTGTGGAGACCAGAGAAGGGAATTAAAGGCACTGAGCAAGGCAGAGGAGGCAACAGAGCCGTGGGACAGAAAAGTGGAAAAGAGACTGGGGTGCACAAGAAGAGGCAATAGGGTGGTAGAGGAGGGAGCAAAATTAATAAAAATATAGTTTTATTTGAAAACCCTAGATTGAAATCTAATACTGTGTGTTAATTTATTTTTTTAACAAAAAAAAATCATGAGGAAAACACCCATTCTGGCAGAAATTCTCCAAGTGTTAAATGTAGGCCAGCAAAAAACATGTCCAGGAACTTTCTAGAAATGCAGAATTTGGTCCTGTCCAGAAGTTCAGTGTCAGACACTGTGGTGTGTGGTCAGCGGGGCCACTGACTGCATCCATACGCACTTGGCTTTGTGACCACTCCCGAAAGTCAAAGTTCTGTGAATAATTGACTGTAGCTTTAGGTGGAGTCCCAGTCCCTGTACCACAGTCTCTCTCCTCTTCAATATCAGAAAGCAGAAGTGGTGGCCCAGGGCGTTGAGAAACAGCTTTGAGGAATAAATGCTCTCTCTGCACCATGCAGGCCTCCTTCCTTCCTTGTTCTACATTTCTCTACTTTTAGGCTGCGGCCACCTAATGCAGGGACTTAAGAGGTTGAGATCTCTTATACCATCTCTCCAGTCACTATCTCTGTTACCTTCAGCAAACTCCCTGTGACTCTGAGGACTCCGTTTCCTCCTAAGCAAAATGAAACTAATATGTAAGGCCTAGGAACCCAATGGAGCCACTGCTCCAAAGCCAACTGTCACAGCAAGGTGCTTCCCATAGAGACAATGCTGGGTCAGAGCACAGGAGCATTTGGTGAGAGACTCAATATCAGTAGAGGAGAAAGTAACAAGAAAATAGTACCATGGTGCCGGAATTAAAAGAACAGAGTTAGAACGTATAAGGTGCCATTTGATTACAAACTTGGGTGTAGAGGGATTTTGTTTAAAGAAAATGTTTTTAAAGCCTTCTCTTGTGATACACTGACACCCCCTGAGCTGACCACTGATGCCTAAGGCATCTAAAATAAAGATCTCCAATGTTTTCCCAATCTTTGCCAAGGCAGAGATGTTTCTTTTTGAAGTCACCTTGGACTGAGTCTAATTTTTAGGGCACCTAACTTTATGTAGAAGTTACACCTACCCCAGAAGGTTATTGTAAGAGTTTAACTGGATAAAGTATATAAAGTACTTGCCCCAGTTCCTGGCAAAAAGTAAGTGCTTAATTAAAAAACCCAACTATATAATAATATTGATTTATTAAATACACTTTACTATGATTTTGTTCAGGCAGTACAAGACAGGAGGGTTAACTAACTGATTGAGAACTGCTGGGCACACTCTCAATAGATTTGTGTTTGTTTAACCATCTCCTCTAAAATGAAACATTCTATTCTGGAGGAAGTCTCCTTAAGACTCAGAAAGTAAACCACTCACAAGTATCAGAAAGTCCCTGAAACTTACAAGGCTCACAAGGTCTCTTCCCCAGATTATGTAATGGTGAGGACTGCTGGGGAAAGAAACTGACCTGCCAATTCTGAGTCACCTCTGTAAGTAAAGCCTCACCCATACTTCTGTTAAGTAAACCCAAGAAACTCTGCCTGAAGAACATTCTGAAAGAGACAGCTCCTTCTCTCATTTTCTCAAAAGAGTGAGGCTTACTAAACTCACTTAGTAAACCATGCGGTGAACCAGTATTTTAGCATAGGAAGCCTTACCTTAAAGATAGGAAGAAACCTAATTATTCTTAAATATCCTATCACCACTGTAAACTGGATCAGAATCAAGCTGTCTGGTCTCAGCTTGACAAAGTAGATGCACAATATATCAACGATTCCCATAACTATGATGAAAAAATCCAAAGTATTCCAATTCTGAAGAAAGTACTTTTTTTTTAAAATCATTATCTGTTTAAAAACACAAACAGAACATATGTTACTCCATAACAACTATATATTGACATAGGGGAGAGGGAAATATTTAAACTTGTAAGTTAGCTAGAAGTGAGTTACACCCTAGGTGTGACCTTTTTGTTTTATGTGTGTGTATTCACCTGAGCATATGTTTACGCATACTACCTGTGTGCAGGTGCCCATGGAGTCCAGAAGAGAGCATCTGATACCCTGGATCTGGAGTTACAGTTATGGATTTCTGAGGAATAATCCTTCTGTGTACTGTGAAAATGTGTTGCTGTCCTTTTTAATAAAAAACAAACAAAAAAAAAACGATTGACTGATAGCTAGCCAGGATTTAGGGGGCAGAGAGAAGACTGGGGAGAGTCAGAGGATCACATAGAGTGATAGAAATGGGTTGACTGAAGTTACAAGAGCTAGCTAAAAATAAGCCTAAGCTACCGGCCAAGTTTTTATAATTAATATTAAGTTTCTGTATGGTTACTTAGGATCCGGCTGGCGGGATAGAGCTGATTGACGGGACAGAAAAACTGTGTCTACAATGGCTAATTGTGAACTACTCAGTGTGTTTGCTGGGAACTGGACTCAGACCCTCTAGAGGGCACTGCCCCTTCTTAAGCTCTGAGCCATCTCTCCAGTCCCATGAGTTGTATTCTAAAATCTGAATTTTGCCGGGCGGTGGTGGCGCACGCCTTTAATACCAGCACTCGGGAGGCAGAAGCAGGTGGATCTCTGTGAGTTCGAGGCCAGCCTGGTCTACAAGAGCTAGTTCCAGGACAGGAACCAAAAGCTACGGAGAAACCCTGTCTCGAAAAATCAAAAAAAAAAAAAAAAAAAAAGAAAGAAATAAAATCTGAATTTTAAGCTACTTGTCTGGAATTCCCCCAAATTATTAATACACATCAAAATGTTTAGTGAGACTCAAAATATAGCATCTATAATGGAGCTGAAAAACCAAAATAATAATTTAAAGGCAGTAGACAAGTTTGCTGCAATACTATTAATAGCAAAGCACCATCAATTACCATTACTGAGTCTCCTGTCCAGGCACGTGACTCTCAAGCCAATTCATTTGTATTTGCTTATACATTCCATGAATCATGTGAGGGAAGTGTTTATGCCTGAAATACCAGTTTTCTATCACCTAACCCTTGGGAGTCTCTCTACTATGATGAGATGCAGCCGATGGCCAAGACTGACACTAAGGCTGTGAACATCCCAGGATCCATCAGCTGCAATAACAAATAGCTTCTGGTATCAAGTTATTTTGATAATAAGATAACAGAAAATGGATTCAAAATATCTGAATTATTCTTTTTTTGTACAATATATTTCTATTTTCCACAGTACCTTCAGTGTTGATTCTAATGTGTATAAAAACATAAAATAGTAGTTTATGGATATCAGTGCTGATATATTTAGCTCTCTTGCAGTTGGCCATATGTGTATTATCATAGGGAAAATATACATTACTGCTACAACATATGTGGCATATTCAAATTCTTCTGAAATTATAATGCGATAGACAAAAATCAGAAATTTATTATTCCTGAAAAAAATAAGAGCAAATAATATCAAGTCATTTAAAGTATAACAAGTAAGCAGTAAAGGCCAACATCAGTCTAAACAAATCAAACTAGACATAATATTAAATACGTAAGTAAAAAAAAAAAACAAGCCTACAGCCAGGCCTTTAGTCCCAGCACTTAGGAGGCAGACACAGGTGGATCACTGAGTTTGAGGCCAGCCTGGTCTACAGAATGAGTTCCAGGATAGCCAGCGCTATACAGAGAAACCCTGTCTCCAAAAAACAAAATACTGCTACTACTAATAATAGCTAGCATACTTTACATAGAGATTATAGTAGAGGAAGAGAAAAGGCTGACTCTGTTAATGTATATAATAAATTAAAAGCAAGAAACAATAAACGTAGAGGAATATGTGTTATTCGTTAGCATTGTTTAAAATTTTTAAATGGGAGAAATATTCAACAATTACCATATTCGTGCCGGGCAGTGGTGGCACATGCCTTTAAACCTAGCACTCAAGAGGCAGAGGCAGGCGGATCTTTGTGAGTTCGAGGCCAGAACTCACAAAGTTCTGGTCTACAAGAGCTGGTTCCAGGACAGGCACCAAAGTTACAGAGGGAAACCTTGTCTCGGAAAAAAAAATTACCATATTCATTTCTTAAAACTTTCTAATCCATCCAAAATAGAAATGAACAAAAGAGGTTTCTGGATATGATAGCTGTTTACTTGGCCAACTTGATTGGATTAAAAAACATCTTGGTTGTGAGATTTCTTCCTTATGACTTCTTGCCTAGGTAGCTCCCAGAGGCTTCCAAAACAATATAAAGGCTATTGTCGTTGTTCCTGCTTAACCACTAGAACTAGATATTCTACATTTCTAAATCCTTATCGCTGACGACAACATCTACTCTGGACACAGAACACAGAGGGGTGAAGCTGAAACTGAACTGGACTCTTCCTCCCTGCGGCTTGCACTCACAATGATGGAACGTACTATCTAGGCTGTCAACGGAGAAAAGTCATCAACAGTCAAATGCAACTGTGGACCTTGAGGGTGTTCGTGATAAATTGCCTGGCAAGATATGCCCACTGGCCGGGCGGTGGTGGCGCACGCCTTTAATCCCAGCACTCGGGAGGCGGAGGCAGGCGGATCTCTGTGAGTTCGAGGCCAGCCTGGTCTACAAGACCTAGTTCCAGGACAGGAACCAAAAGCTACGGAGAAACCCTGTCTCGAAAAAAAAAAAAAAAAAAAGATATGCCCACTGGTTCAATATTGGCATGGATGTGCTGAGAGAAACAACCACATCTTGATTAGATTGGAGGCCCACTCCCCTGGACGGAATATATGCCTACCACTATAGATCTAGCCAAAAGCCCATGACCAGGAGCTCCCAGTCCTCCCAGTGGCCCTGCACTCGATGCTTTGTCAAATGCCTTCCAGATATATATGTGTATTCTCATAGACTCACACGGCTCTCGGCCTCCATCTTTTACAGTCCAAGTGGGACTCATGACTGGTCAAAATAAGGCACTGCTGAGTGTCTGGCCTCAAATGGGACACTGATGCCGCCTTCTCTGAGGCTCAAGGAACATCTTGGATGGGAGGTGCAAGGACCGTGAGAACCAAAGGATGAAGATGGATGTTGTGGGGCACTATCTTCTGGATATGGCATGGCTGTTGGAATCATCAACACACAGCAGGTGTGACTACGGTGGGTAGGGCAGTGCACAGAGGAAGAGAGGGGGAAGGGAAGCAGAAAGAGACAGACAGACATCCTCTCTCACTGCTCCCAGATCTGAACAAGCAGCCTTACTCTCCCAAGGTCACCCTTTCTCTGACGATCTACGCCCCTCAAACTGTGAGCCAAAGCTATTCCTTCTTGAGCTGCTTTGTGTCCAGAATCCCATTACAGCAATGAGAAACAATGCTCTTGAACATACGTCAGGATGTTAAGGGTTTACTTTTTCATGTTCTCTTTAAATTTATTCAATGGAAGAAAGCAGAAAATATTCCCTGTATGTTCTTGTTTTTGCGTCCTCTTTTGGAAAAGAGAAGCTGTTTTCCTGCTCTAAAATTATATAAGTGCACGGTCTATCTAACAAAGTAAAAACTCTACCCAGGCTAAGCAAAGCATGTATTTAATAATATTTTGGAAAATCAGGCATTCTTAAGGTACAGTTGATTTTCCCTTAATTTTAGACATTTATCTGACAAACAAGGTTGCCTTGGGCTAGATTTGGGCCACTGCAGGTATGGCTCACGCTTTCCCAGTCCTCTACCCAGATGAGTAGTGCAAGAAACCTGGTATACGAGCTAGCCCTAAAATGCCATCATCTTCTTCTATACGCATGTCAGTGAAGTTGCTGAGCTAGAAGAGGCAAACACACTGTTCAGTCACTACTTAACCTGTAAACATCTGTCACAAAATTAGTTTAAATAGGAGGGGAATCTACTCTAAAAGTGTTGCAGTGGTGATATTCTGGGTATGATGCTCTTAAAGGTTCATAATACTTACCCAGGTACAGTGAAAAGTATCCTTTCTTTGTGATATTCCAAGTAAGTTAACATGTTTTTAAACTTTATAAGCCAACTTCTAGCTCTCACATAAGTTGAAACATCAGAAATACTCATGAATCTAAGAAAAACACATGTGTGTTGTTAAAAATAGTATCTCAGTTAGGACAATAAAAGGGGAAGATATACTAAATATTAATGTCGGATTACTGAATATGCTGTCTTAGCCCTTTGTTCCTGCACCTATCCATATCCGTGGTCATATTTCAGTAACACTTTTAGCCTGAGACTCCTGTGCCCATGTTCCTAGAACCCTTCCTGACCTGAGACAGGACCTAATTAAAGTTTCTCTAGACCAGCCCCTTTAGGAGTTTTAGAATTAAGCTTCCTTTTTCTCATGTTACGTGACCCTAAAGGCAACTGAATGCCCCACCTTTCCCAAATATAATCCCCAGGCCAATGATAGGTCTCCCATAGAGATGACCAGACTGCTGATACAGTAATCACCACCCAGTTGTTATCTCTGCCACTGACTCACAGTTTTGTCTCAGATACCCACTCACTAATGCTAGCCAGGACAGTGACCGGATATTGATACATCTTTAAGACAATGAGCCTTTCCCACCACACTGCATGGCATCTAGCCATACCATCATTTAGGCCAACTACTCCAGAGCTCACTCTATCCCCAGAGAGCAATCTATGAACAAAATCCAGGCTGCTGTTCTTTTTCCAATAACTTAGAGAATATGATACAAAAGCAAAATACTTAGAAGAGCAATTAAAGCTCTCTAGAATCTTATTCATGGATTCCTTTGTCTCTTATCGAAGCCTGATCATCTCCAAAGTTATGAAACTCATGAGCGTGGGAGGCAGAATAAAGAGGGACGTTCAGAGTAGATAATGCGGGGTAGGGATAGTGATGAGAGTTTACCAAGCATGTTCAAGACCCAGCGTAGAAAAAAGAAAGGGAGGGGGAGAGGACAAAAGGAGGGAGGGCAGATAGGAGGGTGGGAGGAAAGAAAAGGAGCGGGAGTAAGAAGAGGGAAAATGTTATTGGACAGATGGATGAGGGCACAGGTGGACAAATAGATGGACACAGAGAGAGCCAAGATGATAGATTGGTTAATCCGGACATTTAATTCTCAGTTTGTTCATAGCCACATATTCATTCAGTCTGGGAAAAAAAATAAAGAAGTGTCTCACTTACTTTCCATGGATGGGGCAGTAGCTTTTGGTTGCACCAATTAATATCCGGGCCGCCTCTACCCCAAGGACCCCATCATTACATTGCTTTTCAAAGCTGCTCTGAAACAGTTTTTATATTTTAGTATTTTATACTTATAAATATTTACATATATTTATATTGAAATAAAAATTACAAAGGATCAAAACATTGATGGAATGGCTGAGAACTGTGGCTCACGCCTGTAATCCCAGCACTTGAGAGGTGGGAGGATTATCATGAATTCCAGGACTGCCTGAGCTACAGTGAAACCTTACTTCAAAAGAAAGAAGAAAAAGTATAAAATAACTTATGCTACTCTTACAATTTTACTCCATTGTTTTTTAAATTTATTTATTGTGTGTGTGAGCACGAGAAGGTCAGAAGACAATTCATAGGAATAGTTCTCTCATCCACTAAGTGGATCCAGGGGATAGAACTCAGGTCTTCAGGCAAGAAGACAAGGGCCTTTACCCACTGAGCAGCTGGCTTGCCAACTCCCATTGTGGGCTTCCTGGTTCTTGCATAACTCACATTATAATTACTAACACCAGTTCTCAGCCTTGACACATCATGGGCTCTGTCAATTTATTACACTACTAGAAGTTAAATAAGCAGCCAGGGGAATCTCATATAAGAGGAACACAATGTATTCAGTTTCCATAAAGCAGTTTCATCTGAATGTGGTGACAAAAGCCTGCAATCCCAGCACCTGGGAGACTGAAACGGAAGAATCATGAGTTCAAGATCAGCTTGGGATACCTACTGAGACCCTGTCTCAAAAACAAAATAAAACCTTTCAGCTGTTTAAAGGGCCACAAAGTGACAGATAAAACTTACTAGTCTTAAAAACAAAATTTTTGTAACCTGAATTCAAAGCCCAAAGAAGGAAGACTTGGTTTTGTTAAGTTTTAATAACTCAGGCTGCAGAGATGACTCCATCAGTAAGGCATTTGCCTTACACGCACAGGACCTGAGTTTGGATCCCAGCATCCCTGTGAAGGGTTCAGTTCAGCTCAGCTCCAGCCTGTACTCCCAGCAATGGGGAGGTAGAGACAGGAGGATGCCCCAGGCCTGCTGGCCAGCCAGCCTAATCAATCAGTGAACTTCAGATTCAGTAAGACAAACTGTCTCCAAAAATAAAATTGAAGAGCAATTGAGAAAAACACTCATTGTCAACCTTCAGCACATGCAGGCAGAGCTTTTGTCTGGCCAACGGCTCCCAAATAAACACACTGGGGCTTATATTAATTACAAATGCTTGGCCGATAGCTCAGGTTTGTTACTAGCTAACTCTTAAACTTATATTAACCCACATTTTTTATCTATGCTCTACCATGTGGCTTGGTACCTTTTCTCAGTATGGCATGCTCATCTTGCTTCTCCCTGTATCTGCTGGCGACTCCTCTGACTCTGCCCCACTTCACCCCATCTCTCTCAGTTTGCTTGTACCACTTAATACTTCTTGCCTGGCTACTGGACAATCAGCTTTTTACTAACCACTGAGAATAATGCATATTTACAGTGTATAGAAGGTTTATTCCACAGTGCACACACACGCACACACACACACACACACACACACACACACCAAATAAATAAATTTCTGTAACTCAAAGACTAATTTTGACAGTCCATAGATTATTTCAGAAGACAAAAAGGTTTTCTAATTATCCAAAAACTATAAGGATTAAAGGCTTGTGAGACAAAAAATAATAATATTGTTTGAATAATACCAACCATTTGTATTATAGCTACATGCAATCTGGCCTCTTCTATTAAAACTTCATCTGTTGGGGACTCCTCTATTGGACCATGAAAAGAAGAAACCTGAACAGTGTGCGTCTGTTTTAAAATCTAAAGAGACAAAGTTGAAAATAAGCAAAAACAGGCTAAAACAAGATAAACATCATACTTAACAAAGATTTTAGTAACTCGCTCAGAATTGCTACAGCAATAAGCTGTATATAACTTGATTAATGCTTTGCCATATGTGTCTTAGTTATGGTTCCTATTGCTGTGAAGATACACCATGACCACGGCAACTCTTATAAAAGAAAATATTTAATATGCAGCTTACAGTTAGAGGTTTAGTCCATTATCATCATTGTGGGAGGCAAGCAGGTAGACGTGGTGCTGGAGAAAGAGCTGGGAGTTCTATGTTCTACCTCTTGCAGGCAACAGGAAGTGAACTGAGACACTGGGTGTAACTTGAGCATAGGAGACCTCAAAGCCCTCTTCCACGGTGAGACACTTCCTACAAGGCCACACCCACTCCAACAAAGCCATACCTCCTAATAGTGCCATTCCCTTTGGGGGAGCATTTTCTTTCAAAGCATCACAATATTAGACCATTGACTTCAATTGCCATGAAGGAAATATTCCTTTGAGAGATTTAGAAGCCAGTTTACCCTTTAAGCCTGTCTATACTTCACTACTCTCTACCTTAGCCTATGGTTTCTACTTTTTATAAAACACAGAGAGAGATCTCTCAGGATCTCTACCTGTTGGAAGCATCATCTTAGCCGAGGTCATTGCTTGGAATTTAACCAGCAATTTTGAACAAACATCCATTTTTCTTGTATCTAATATAAAGGCCAATCATGAAGACTTTCTTTTAGGGACAGAATTCAAAGAAGATGCTTCACCAGGACATCAAAGTTAATAGATTTCCCCCTCTATTTTCCGGTATTTGGATAGTAGACTCACGTTTGTGCATATGCGTATGTACACAGATGTAAGTTTGTGTATGTGTGTGTACATGTGTGTGGAGGACAGAGATCACCTCAGAAGAGCCACTTTGGTTTTGGTTTACTTTTCAAAGGGATTTTTACTAATTAAATTTGTTCTCTGACAATTTTAGACATTTACTTTTTGAAACAGTCACTCACTGGAAGCAGAAGCTCACAGATGAGGCTAGGATGGCTGTCCTGTGAACTCCAGGGCTCCCCAGAACTGAAATTACTAGCAAGTACCCTCACACCGGGCTTTTCCATGTATGTTCTGGAAATCGAACTCAGGTCTCCATGCTTGCGTGTCGAGCACTCTACCCACTGAGCTGTCTCTTCAACCCCAGAATCGTGTCTCTAATACTGAGTCAGGGAAGACAGGAAGACCCAGAGGGGGAAAATAAGATGACCATCATGTCTATCAACTCACAGGATTGTATCCAATATTTGCCTTTTCTTCTACTACATTCCAGTTAACATTTGTTAAAATTTTTTCTGTTTTAAATAAATTTATTGCATTCTGTATATTCTGTTGTATGTGTTCAATGGCATTTCGAACAGCCATTTGTCTTGGAAGGGAGAGAGCACACAAACCTGCGATCAAAAAGAAGAAATGAAGGCATTAGCATAGTTCCCACCCCAGCTTCCACCCCTCCCCCTTGTTCCCACTGCTACCAATGCTCTTCTGCTGGATTTCTCTATATGTTTGTTATTTTACCGTTCTCATGTAATTATATTATAAATAGGTTCAGATTCCTCTTAGATGTTATTAAATGTCCCTATTTATGATTTTATTGTCTCTATGTTTACATTTGTCTTTGAATTCAATTTTTTTTTTAAGATAAGCAGCTTCAGCAGAGCTTGGGAAGCATCTCCCTATGTCCTTTCTCTCCTTCATCCTTCTGCCAACAGAATTTCTGACTTCTGACTAAAAACATGGCCAGCCAGAAAAAAAGTGATTTTCGAGGTTCTGTCACTCCTGTGTCTCCCGTAATTAAGCTCGAGCCTATGGAGTGTGCATTAAAATGATACATCTGTCCTTAAAGAAGAGCTGCTTGTCCTCCTGTCCCCACATTCCAACTTCTTGCTAGCTGGTTAGACTGTGGACACGAGCAATTTCTCTCGTGTTAGTTAGACTTTGGTACAGAGCAGTTTCTACCCTGCAAGCACAAAGGCAGCCTATGGACTAGAGAAGCAGTAAGAGAAAGGGGGCCTGGGTCTCTGGATGACCAGACCCAGCAGAATCATCCTATCATTCTAGACATACTGGTAGAAGGGAAAGACCTGGCTTTTTGGGGATTCTTTTCATATGTTTTTATTAAATTATATGAACCAATAATGCAGTTAAAGAATAATTTATATGCAATTCATTAATGAAAAGAAATCATGTATGAGCCAGTTCCTGTAGTCCATAAGACATGTCTACACAACCTTCCATTAATACTCTATTTGCATTTTCTCTCAAACAAACCTCTATATAATACAACATAATATAATATTTAAAGTATATAATAATACTTTACCTAATGTCTTGGCTGATCGAAGCATCATATGTGAATTTATTCCTGTTGTCAATATTGATAGTATTTGTATATAGAATATAAACTAAAACCAAAACATACAGATGTTAGAGCCAAATATCAAATACTCTTCCCAGGGATAAACAATGTTCATTTAACCACCTGTAAAACTCTAACTCAATCCGCATTTTTAAATTCTGTCTCAACAAGCTAAAGTCAAAGGGTTATTTTGTGGACAACTGTTTGGCCAGAGTACATGAGGCAAAACTTAATTTTCAATTTGAATAAGAAAAAAGGGTTAGTCATGTATATTCTGGGCTAAGGACACAGAGAGAGATCTTTCCAATGCTTTGGGCCAGTTAAGCCCTCCAAGCCCCAGTGCCCTTCACTGAAAAATGAAGTTGATAACAATATCTCCTCCAAAACATTTCCCCAAACTGATCAGAGTCATCCTAGGTACTTGCCAAACATTCTTACTCCCCGGTGCCTGCCCAGAGTTGTGACTATAGGTTTGGAGTACAACACAGGGAGTTCTTAATATCATGTCGACTTGGGGAACACAATAAAACAATACCCAAATGTTAGCTCACAGCTCATTGGTTTGGGGAACACAATAACACAGTACCCAAATGTTAGCTCACAGCTCATTGGTTTGGGGAACACAATAACACAGTACCCAAATGTTAGCTCACAGCTCATTGGTTTGATTTTAGGCCAGTTCATTGCATAAGAGAGAATCTGAGAGGCTAAGTTTTTGGTTATTGTACTTTTCCTTTGAGAAAGGTTTCTAAGAAATTTCTCTACCTTGTTCAGTACTGCCATATACACAGAGGTGCAGGGACTAGGGCTGTGTTAACATATTTGCTTAGCATGTACAAGGCCCTTGGTTTGATCCCCATCACTGCAGAAACAACAATGGTGAGGTCCCCTCACACTACCAGCGTATCAGGGGTGTCTGCTTCAGTGCCACACCTCTGGACTGCTAGAACCCACTAGCGAGCCCAAGGCTTTGAGAAAGAGGAAAGGAAACCAAGTTTTGTTTGTCACTACAGATCACGAAGTCTTCAGCCAGACTTTTTTGAGACAGAGTCTTTCTACAAAGCTATGGGTGTTTTGGAACTTCCTATGTAAACCAGGCTGGCTTTGAATTCACAGAGATCTGCCTGCTTCTGCCTCCCAAGGGCCGGGACAAAAGGCGTGCACCACAACTGCCTGAGTTCAGCCAAACATTGTTAAATGAGTCTGAAGACTAAAAAATATGCTTAATGCAACAATTTATAAACTCAAAAGATATATATTCCTTTGGTACACATCACTAGCATCTCCAATTTTGTTCTGGCAGCTACATGAATTTGAATGTCCTAGATGAAGGCATTTTATTATCACTTTTCTGATAGTTATTAGGGGGGGAAATGGCATTTGTATGTTTGGTAAAACTTACTGAGCATTTATTAGGTGTCAGCTATTTTTACAACCCTCAATTAGAAGCTGAGATTCAACGAAGCAAAGGTATATCCCCCAAAGTCAGCCGGTCTGTGAATGGTGGAGTCAGGATTGGAAATCAAACATACAAATAACCCTATTAACAATCACTGTGTGGATGCTGGCCCCTTCCACATGATCAACATAAACTTTTTTCTGACAATGTCCTTTTCTACTGAAAAAAATGCATTTAAAAAAAAACCCTAATTCAAAGTTGGTTAACTTTAAGATGAGGTATAGTATGCTACATAGTAAGTAATAAATGAGTCAATAAAAATATTCGTAGCACGTGATTATTTTCCTTACCATATGCGGTGCCTCTATTTTACGTTCAGAAAAACTATAAATATCTGGAGCCAGGAGTAAGCTAAAAACACCTCTGATGCCAGACCATGCGATGACAACGCCCCATCGCCAGTCATACTCATAACTTGAATGCATCAAAATAGGGCTCACGAAGAGAACAGTAAGCAACCTGTGCACAGGAAAATGGTATAAATAAATAAAACGTACATGATACAGTAATGTTATACATGGTTAAAATTGTGTACTCAGCACAAAACTTCACTTAAGAGTTTCCAGGGATGAGAAAACAGCAGAGGTTACCAGTAAGTCCCTGGAGCTAATCTGAAGTTTGTGAGCACTATAGTCTGTGTATAGTGGAAGAGTCTACACAAATGTAAGGATTTATCGCTAACACTACGGTGTATAGTTTGCAGCTAGGTAGTAAATTCTTTTTTTTTTAATTTATTTATTTATTAAAGATTTCTGTCTCTTCCCAGCCACCGCCTCCCATTTCCCTCCCCCTCCCCCAATTAAGTCCCCCCCCCAAGCCCGAAAAGCAATCAGGGTTCCCTGTCCTGTGGGAATATGGACAGTTCTCCAAAGCATCCTGACAAGTTCATCTGTTCTGTGACAAACCACAAAATGACTGAGAAACTGGAATTGGAAGAAGTGATGATCAGACCACCCCCCCCCCAAGAAAACAAAATTACTATAGACACATTTATAAACTTAACCAGGCAAATTTTTTTAACCTCCTACAAGAAACATACGCTAGGCCTGGGGAGATGGTTCAGGGATGAAAAAAATTGTCGGAGAAGTATGGAGACTGGAGTTCAGATCATAGAACCCAAGTACACACCTGGTGGATGTGGGGGTCCACCTGCAATTCCAGCCTCAGGAGGCAGAGGCAGGAGATTCCCTAAGCAGACTATGAGAATAGCTGTATCAGGGAGCCTGAGCCCTGGGCCTGACTGAGAGACTACCTCAGTGAAGAAAGTGGAAGATCAGCAGAAGTAGAGTCTCAAAATCAACCTCAGGGCTCCCCCACAAGCATGCATACACACACATGTGCATGCACATCCCTCACACATACACCCACATACATGTAAAATATGTACATATATGCACTATATACATGCCCACAGATACACACACACAAATGGGTGGAAAAGAATCCTATACTTCAATGTGTTTCTGCTTATTTTAAGGCCACTTTTCAATAGGATCTTGTGAAAAAATTCAGAACCTAACCTTCTTTTCATTGTTTTATTATGTGTATGGACATTTTGCCTACATGTATGTCTGTGTATCACCTGGTGACCTAGTGACCTCAGAGCTCCATAGCTCCCGTGTATCAAATGAGGTCCAAGATAAAATTACACTGCGCTCATCTTCTCCTCCAATCCAGAAATGCCCCCTCATTTGCCTCATTTGTCCATAAATTTTCTGCTAACAACTCCTCTCTCTTTCTCTCTCTCTCTCTCTCTCTCTCTCTCTCTCTCTCTCTCTCTCTCTGGACCCATTTTTCTTGAATATGTAAATCTATCACAGAGCAGACATTTCACAGAAACTCATGACTAGCTGTGGACCCCCAGGGACTGAAGAGATGGGTTAGTGGTTAAGAGCACTGCCTGCTCTTCCAACGGCCCTGAGTTCAATTCCCAGCAACCACATGGTGGCTCACAGCCTGTAATGAGATCTGGTGCACTGTTGAAGAAGAGACCTGGTCAGTTATCCTCATCAACTTAAACCATGAAATCCAGTATGGACAAGTTCAACAAATATACAGGCTGCCCATGTATGCTTCAGCATTGCCAGGGCATACATTTCGTTCATTTTTTCAAATTATAAAGCTTAGTTTCCTTATGTTACAATCATTTGAATATTTCTCTTATCCTACCAACAAGATGGCAGACTTCTTGAAGAGAAAGGCACTGTACTTTCATTGCCACTGTGACCCTTGAGACTTTTACCAGAAGCTCTTGTTGTGTTTACCTAGCCTCTTTGCAAATGAAAAGATGTGGAACCGCTGTTTGCCTAGAATGCAGCTTGTGGTGAGGGATATCACTAGAGAACAGTTAGGAGAAGCACCACTTTCTGGAGACTCTAAGTTGAGAAAGCAAATCTGCATAGCCAAACAACCAAACACCTTGGAAGAGCTGGCTAATCCAGCCGGTCCTAAGACAGTAGGAGATGGGTGTTTCTAGGCCACTCTCAGTTTAGGGCGCTAAACAGGAGGAAGGGAGAGGGGACATGGCAGGAAATTTCCCACTGAAGTAAAAGCTTGATGGCTTCCTACAGGTCTAGAGTCAGGGATTCAAAGGGGAGACCTTTAAAAATGGGGAAGCTTGTGAGGAAATGTAGTTCCTGTTGATGGCCCAACAGCAGGTGGAAAGTGAGGCGGTTTCTTGGGGTGTGGCAGTAGCCCAAAGAAGCTGGATAGAGCAGAGGCCTGACCAAAGCCTCCAAAGGCACTGTCAGTTCCTGATATCAGAACAGACCTGGCTAGAGAAGACCACGGCAGTTTCCGTCATCACTATGATTTGCCAACCACTCCCATCTATTCCCATAAGGACCGGCCATTTACATAAGGGATCTCCCCAACCTTTGAGTTGAAAGAAAAGTATCAGAGTAACTGTGTGTGTGTGTTTTGTGTGCATGTGTCCACATCTGTGAGTGTGTTTATGTGTCTGTATATGTCTGTAGGTATGTCTGTTTGTGTGTGTATGTCTCTGTGTATGTGTGTGTTTGTGTATGTGTTCCTCTGTGTGTTTGTGTGTTTGTGTATGTGTTCCTCTGTGTGTTTGTGTGTCTGTGTATGTCTGTGTATATGTCTGTCTGTCTGTGTAAGTCTGTGTGTGTGTCTGTTTGTGTGTATGTGTCCATATCTCTATATATCTGTGTGTCCGTGTGTGTGTCTGTGTGTTTATGTGTTTCTCTGTCTGTGTGTCTGTGTATGTCTGTGTATGTCTGTCTGTGTGTGTATGTCTATGTGTGTATCTGTTTGTGTGTATGTCTGTGTGTATATGGTGTGTAACGTCATAATGATTCTGATATGACCTCCACTTACATGATAATATGTAACATAAAGTTACAGAAACAAAGTTTTATTTTTGAGGCTATTATTTAATACCTAAGTTATTACAGACATATAAGGAAAATGGTTTCATATTATACATGTCAGTGTCCAAGTCAGAAACTGGACCATGTGCCCAAGGCTATTGTAGAACATCTCAGAGATGGCAAGTATGAGAGAGTGATATGAGCCCAGAAATAAACTTGGACCTACAAATTCAGGTAGGAAGCAAGGACTGATTTGCAAACCAAAGATGGTTAAGAGACCTACTGATTTAACAGCCAAGTGTAAACAGTAAATGTGCAATAGATGTGGCACATGCTGGACAGAGTGTAGGAGTGGTGTGTTAGATTGCATGGTAATGATTCCTGAATCATAAGACTGGATTCAAAATAGCATCTTATAAAGCAAGGTCCTTTGGCCACTGCCCTGTATAGAAGTCACGCTGTCAAGAATCCTTATAGAAGACATGCTATCAGGGGCAGGCAATGGCATTTGAGTAGGGAGTTCATTAAGTCCACCTTTCACCCCAGCTCTGTCCTTGCAGGCTGGGTGGCTGACTCCAGGCAAGTTTCTGAGGTCCCTGGAAACTTCCTCTGTAAACTGATGCAATAACATCTCTTTCGTGGAGCTGAGTTACTATCAGTGGCTTAGTCCACAGGGCAAGTGCTTAGACAATGACTTTACCGAAGGTTCTGATTACCACACGTGATGAGAAAGTCAGCAAGATGGGGAATTCCATTCATCTCGTCCTGTGTGCTCTAACTTTGACCTTGAGTCCAAAGGACCTGACAATACACAGAACTGCTTTCTGGATCTCCCCTCTGCTCAGTCAGCAGAATCAGTAAGGCAGGCCTGGGACTCGGCATTTCTATCACACTCAGGGGTAAGAAACCCGAAAAAAGCCACTCACCCAGGGCTTCACAGCATGCCACTGCCAAGGCCCCATCAACAGCGCACATTCCCCAGCACAGAACATTTCTTCCCCAGACTCCACTGCTTCCAATTCTAACTCTGAGCTTAAGAATCTAAGTGTGGGCGGGAGGGGGGTTGGGAGATGGCTCAGTTGGCAAAGTGCTTGGGGCACAAGAGTGAGGACTTGAGTTCAATCCCCAGCACCCACATAAGAGGCGGGAGTAGAAGTCTGTACCTGTGACCCCAGTGTTCAGGAGGCAAGATGGGACTATCCTTGGGGCCTGCCAGTATGTCAGTTGAGCTGAAGCAGAGAGCTCCAGGTTCAGGTAAAGACTCTGTCCCAAAAAATACAGTGGAGGGCCCAGTGGAGGTGACTCAGCAGATGAAGGCACTTGCTGCCAAGTCGGAAAACCTGAGTTCCATCCCTAGGACCTACGTGGTGTCAGAAGGGAATCAACTCCTGCCTTTTGTCCTCTGACAGCAAAATGTGTGAATATATGTGCATGCATGGAAATATATATCAATAAATAAGAAAGCAAATAAACATGTAGTTTTTAAATAAGATAGAGAAAATGTAACGGAAGACATTCAACATCAGCCTCCACATGTATGCACACACATGCACATGCATACACACCTGAATACATAAATGCATATATATATATACAAAAAATCTAAGTCCAGCAAAGAAAACTTTAAAATGAATCATTACCTTGCAAAATTCACTGTTACAAATAAGGTGACAGTGAAAACTAGTGAGTGGAATCTGAAATATTTGATTTCTCCACAGCCAATCACAATGCCAAAGAAGCCATATATTAAATGTTCATATGCAGATGAACACATTATTAAGAACCTAGGATGGATAAAAAAAATCACATTTTAATTGATGCACTTTCAAAAATATATGCTTTTTCACATAAAACTACCTCTGTTCTGACTAACTCGGTTATGACACTGTTATCTCAGAGGAAACTGGGTCCTCCATCCTAGTTACGGTCAACCACCTAGACAATCTAAGACATTCAGGTCACTGTTTACATCACACCACAACTCCTGGTGTGCCTCTCACAATGCAACAGTATGAGCAAAGAAGAGAAATAACACCATCCCCAAGCTGGTGATACACCGATTTCTATGGGGTTACCCAGCGGTTCATCTAATACTGGAGCTGAATGTCCTGCGTGAGAATGGCTACAAAGAGCCACGTGGGTACTGCAAAGTGACCGCTGAGGAGGATGCAATGCCACTTCACCACTTCTGCTGTGACTTGCATTTGGAAAGCCTCTCTTGTCTGCTTTTCAGTCTGCTGAATTCCTACACATCTGGGCAACCTGGTTCTTGCCCTGTGTTCTCCATCTGACGCTCTCTGATTAGCCATGACCTCTTCTGAGCCCCTGCAGTGTTGATTGCCTACACCACCACAGTTAAGCAAGGGAGACCAATAGGTTGTTCTCAGATGGCTTCTGAAAAAGCTGTGATGTGGCATATGTAGGGTATGCTGGCTTGCATGAGCCAGGACCAGATCTGACATCTCCAGGCAGATCTCAAATCCTGCCTCCTCTCGATTCCCTCTCTGAGGACTTTGAGCTGCTTTGCCCCAAAGCCTCACCAGTGGCTCTCAAGGTCTACACTGGGGAAGAAGTGTTAGGAAGCCACATTTTAGCTGCAGGTAAAGCATGGTATCTGGTATAACTAGGACATAGTATGACTCCCCAAGAGATTCCCGTCTCCTGATTCAAACCACTCAGAGCTCCTGTGGGGAAAAGCATGAATGGAGGACCTCAAACCCCAGTGCTTAGTTCTCAGCTGTCATAGAATAACTAATGAGTTGAATACTTTTTAAATGATTTCCATAGAGTCTAACAATGCCTTTGCATATAATAGGGCCCCCAAAATACATAGTTTTAGAATACTTATCACTAGGGTTTTTTTTTTTATAAAAACAAGTACACCCTTTAACAATAATGGGTTTGTTTTGTTTGTTTTTAGAAAATGTCTTTTTCCCATTGCTCAGGCTTAAAATTCAACACCCAGGCCATAGCAGCAGAAAAAGATTGGTGGCTTAAATGAAGGAATAAACAGCTAAGGGGCTGGAGAGATGTGCTTCCAGAGGTCCTGAGTTCAATTCCCAGCAATCACATGGTGACTCACATCCATCCATTTTGAGATCTGGTGCCCTCTTCTGGCCTACAGGTGTACATGCAGGCAGACTAATGTATACATACAAAATCCTATGGAATCTATACTGAATATGCGGCAGAAAACTCACTTAGTAATTATGAACTCCATCCTCGGTTTAAAACTTAATGAATCTAAATTCAGGCCTACTGTAACCAAAGCGACAATTCCTGACATTCCAAAATATTCCACTGGGGAGAGAGAGAGAGAGAGAAAAGAGTTAAAAGTAAATGCATTGAAATCTGCACACTGGTGTGCACTGAGTAAAGACAATAGGAAAGTTGAAAGTGGTGTTTCTCATTTAGAAAGTTGCTTCAGGGAATTCGCCTAATACTGTAGGTCGGGAAATAGCAAGGTTTCTTCTGTAACTGGCCGCCCCATAATAAAAACCTAACCTTTGTGAGCTGTAGGGGACCTGTCACCGCTATGTCCCTCCGCGATTACCCTGTAAAAGAAGCCAGAGCTAGCATACAAACTAATGACTAGCCAACAGAACTCTGTGGGCTTTCAACTTCATATGATCTCCATCTCCATGAGCTACCTGTAGTTTATTCTGCTCTTTTTTACAAAGCTATTTTCAGCTAAGAGCAAATTTGACCCAGTTTGCTAATCCTACATTATCACCAAGGCCAGGGTTAGTGGGGAAGTAGAACCTCAGGGACTTTGTGCTCCCTGTACCAGGAATTGCTGACAGAACTTACAGCTTCCTGAAGCTTCTGCCTCCCCCATGCTCCCTCCCCCGCGCCGACTAAAGGTTAATTCGTGGGCTCTAGATGTTGAAAAACCTAGTGTAGGGAAAATGTTTGAATATCGTAAATGCCATTGATGCTGGGCTATAGACAAAGAGCCCAGTGTGACAGCAGGCAGAAAGGAAAAGAAAGAGCATGCAGACAAGAAGTAAAAGAGATGATGGCTTTCTCCACCAGAGTCTGTGCGCGTACAAAAAAGGCGTGAAACAGCAGCCCCTCCCAGACCTACTGCAAACATTAGATTAGATAAGATAGTGCTCGGCACGTCCCCTGGGACGACACCGACACCGTTGTGACTGTGGCCTCTGCTCTCCAGCCACTGGTTCTGCTGCTCGTTAACAGTGAGGAAAGATTTCCCTGTTCTCGTTTATCTATTCACAGCTTCACCCTAGACTTTCTCACCTACTTTCCTAACTGAATTTCACTTAAACAATCAAGTCAAGTAAAGCTAATGGTTCCGCAAATGTGATGACAGGGAAAACGTCAAACTCTTTTTTCCGGCTTTTATCATAAGTACATACTAGTTTTTAGTTTTGCTTGATTGATTTTTATATAGCTTGATTTCTTTCGTGCCGAATTTTGAACACATTTTTGTCAAATGTTTGGGTTTCGTTGACTTGAGCTGAGCTGATCAAGCCCTTTGATCCCACAGTTGAAGGAAAATAAGGAATCCACACTGTTAATTAAGGAACGACCCCAGCTCAGCTTGAGAATTCTTTGTCCAGGCTGGGGAACCTCTAAAGCGAAAATGAGGCTGAAATGGTTTGCAGCCAGGTCTTGCCCCTCTACCCTCAGCTCTCGTCCATTGAATCTGTTTAAAGGGGCACCAAGCGTTGACTGAAAACATCTCCATTCTAAAAGAAAGAGGAAAGGAACCAGTGTTTATGAACCTCCCTGCCTGGAACCCAGCCAGTGGAGAGCTGGCAAAGGCTTAAAAACTAATCTCTGGCGGCTGGGGACTGGGATGGGGCGGGGGAGGGGGGGGGTTGGAGAAAGACTTGCTAGGCGCCATAAACTGTCACTCAAATGAAGGTAGGAGGAGATTTGCATAATGAGCTCCTATCAGCCCCTAAGTACCTCCAGCTCCCAAGCATAGCGAGTCCCATCACAAACCTTCCTTCATTAATACCTGCAGTTCCCTGTACAAATGAGGTAATTTGAACAGATGAAGAAACAAGCTTTGGGCTAAGTATGTCCCAAGGTTGCTGACTGATGAAGTATATCTGGAGTCTGCTTACTCAAAAATTAAGTAATATTTGTTTATTCGACCATCGTGTATTAAATTATTGTCAGGTATTTAACAAGCTCTAAGCTTGGCTGAGAGCAAGAGCTGACTATGAGCCGCGCTCAAGCTCCAGAGGCTCACAGTCTGGTAGGGAGATGGAAAGATGGAATGGAATCTTCTTTGAAGATAAGGAACCCACAAAACTTTCACACAGGAGAAATATAATGGAGTTTAAGGAAATGAGCTTCCTGGGGGGGAAAATCTGCAAATGTTTTCTCTAGTTTGACAGGCTCACAGTCCTGAGCAACCACTAGGTGGCGATCTGTCCGTTGGGAAAACAGTGCTTTTCCACAACCAGTCGTGTAAAGAGCTCTTGAGATCTGAGGTCTTGCCTGAAAGTCACTCGGTGACAGCAAACGCAGTTTGGTCATAGTTACTATGGCTCACGGTAACTGTAACACTCCAAGTCCCAATTTTATAGGATTGAGCTGACTGAAGGCCCGCACGGATGGAGCTCTATTATATTACTTCAGCAGTTGTCCCGCCCCAAGCTTCTCTGGGGACAGAAGCACCTCTGATCTCTCCTTCTTTCCTGCCTTCTAGATTGAGGGAAAAAAGGCCGGCATCTCAGTAGCCTTCTCGGCTTACTAAGTGAAGGCTATCGAGCTGGGAAAGATCTCAGGAGCTTCTTCGCCAATTTCCCCTTTTTTACAGGCGAGCTGCTCAAGAGTCAGAACAGATAGGAACTCCATGTTCTACTAGGGGACAACCAGGAACGGCCTATCGGGTTAGAGAACAGAGCTCAAAGGGGTAAGAGAGTAACCAGGGGTGGGGATGCAAACAGGAAGGGATATGGAGTTACAATAAAGAGGATATTAAGAGAGGGAGGGAGATAACTAGTCAGAGAGGTGAAGCGACAAAACAGAAGGGAAACGGCAAAGAGGCGGGAATGGTTGCGAAGTTTCTGGAGTAAGGAGCAGAGCAGAACCAAGATTCCTGCGCTTTTCCGGAGAACAACAGTGTTTGCATTCCTTTGCCTTACCGAGGTAGAAAGTCATGTACACCAGAGAAAAACAGAGAACAACGTTAGTCAGTGTGTTGCTAAAAAGGTCGGTCAGTATAATCCGAATGAATCTCGTGCACCAATATCCACATATTGCGCTTCCAAAAATGTCAAAGCTGAGTCCAATGATGACATGTAACTCTAAAAAACAGAAGAAAGGGAGAAAGAAAAGCTTGAGTTTAACGTCTGGGGGGCTTGTTTGTCTTTGGTTTACTCTTGAGGCTTGTGAACAGGGAGCCTGTTCTTCAGCAAAGAGAGCGCCCCCAACAAACTTGTGAAAAAGAGGCTGTCTAGGAGCAGCCTTCCCATCTTAGGAGTAGCCTTCCCGTTCAGTCTACAGCTTATGATGATTTCTCCAGGGATAATAAACAACTTCCACCCACACTCCTATCAACAATCCCAGTGAAACTCCTTGGGTCACACACAAAGACAATAAATAGAGGGGCTAGTTGAAAAGAGGATTAATGGGAATGAGGAAGAGACAAGAGAAAATAACAAGGGTGAAGATAATTGAGATACATTGTGTACATATTCAAAAATATAACAAAATCCATTCATATTTAATTAGTATATGCTAATGAATCATTTCTAAACCGTCTACCCAAATTACCGGGGCTCCTTCATTGAAAAGGACTGTGAATGTCTCTTTTCCACCCAAATTTTTCTGCTTTCAGGCCTTGTCACCCCTCTCCTATAGCTGTCACATAACAAGAGGACACTTTCCCCCATTCATGCTATATGGCTTGACTTTCTCTTTCTTCTCTAGCTACCAGGACAACATCTAGAAACCTGTCAGGGGAATATATTCCACCTTCCAGTTATCGTTAGCCACACAAACCCAACTCTTTTCATTCTTAGGGTTGTTCTATCAATACTATAGGAATCAAGTTTTCAGCATCAAATCTATGACCAAGTCAACTCTTTCTGTCCACTGAGAAACATAGTGATCCTAGCTCAAGAGACACCCTGAGCCAAGTGATGTAGTGATGTATATGTGCAGGCATGCTAGGGGAGGGAAGTGAGGGGTTTCATTACTATTGTTTGAATTACTTTTTTATGCTTTGAGATTATAAAATTATATCATTTCCCCTTCCCTTTTCTCTCTCCAGCTCTCCCATACACTCTTGTTTGCATTTCGCTTATCATACAATGTATACTTTGTGTTTTAAGTGATCACTAAAGTACCAAGATGGTAGTTATTTTCCTGTTATCTAACTTTTAACTGACCCCAGAGCAATGTATAGAGAAAGATGCAAAGACGAACGCACTTTCATTTCAATACGAATGATTTTAGAGAACATACGGACAAAACACGATGCTCTTACCCCTGAACATGGAAACATTAGTTGTATGGCCCCGGAAAATTCCAAAGAAAATGCATGTGAAGCTACAAATGATCAACGACTCTCCTCTGATAATGTCCGTGTACATCTTAGAAATGCCTGGGGAGGGGAACAGGAGCGAGAGTTGAATGTGGTGCGATGGTGCTCTTGCGTAGAGAACAGGGAAGAGCGAGTATGTGCTAGGGAAAACACAGAAAGCAGGCAGTCATAACTGGCATGCACCCGTGAAACAATCACAAGCAACACTTTTCATTTTCGTGCTAAGCCTTCTGACTCTTCAGCTGCAAAGGAACACAACAGAAGCAACCCTTGTATCACCCTGTCCTGGTTTTGTTTCTGTTGCTGTGATAAAAAAAAAAATATCCTGACAAGCTCACCAAGGCCAGCTGGACTGGAACTGATGGAGCACGTGAGCAAACTGGACTCTCTGAACGTGGTGGACAATGAGGGCTGACTGAGAAACCAAGAACAATGGCAATGGGTTTTGATCCTACTGCATGTACTGGCTTTGTGGGAGCCTAGTCTGTTTGGATGCTCACCTTACTAGACCTGGATGGAGGGGGGAGGACCTTGGACTTCCCACAGGGCAGAGAACCCTGACTGCTCTTTGGACTGGGGGGGGGGGGGGAATGGGAAGAGGGGAGGAGGTGGAAATTTTTAATAATAATAATAATAATAATAATAAGAAGAAGAAGAAGAAGAAGAAGAAGAAGAAATATCCTGACAAAAAGCAACTTATAGGACAAAAGGTTTATTCTAGTTCACAGCTCTAGGTTATAGTCCATCATGGCAGGGAAGTCAAGACATCGGGAATTTAGAACACCCAGTCACATCACACACACTATCAAAACCAATGCATGCACACTTCCTTGTACTCAGCCACCTCTCTATACTAATGTATGGAGTACTTACGTACACTTGCACAGTCCAATATCCCCTGCCTAGGAAATGGTAGCACCCTCAGTGACCTGGTTTTTGCTATATTGATTAATTCGTAATCAAGACAATCACACACACACACACGCCTACAGACCAACTTTATTAGACAATTCCACATTGATACTCTCTTCCCAGGTGACTCCAGAGTGTGAAAGTTGGCAGTTAAAGCCGACCTTTAGATGCCCACTGCCCCTGATATTTTCTCATTTCCTTTTACTTTATGTTTGCATATGCATGTGTCTGGTTGTCAATATGTATTCACACCTGTGCACATGGACACACGTTTGAGGGGCCTGAGGTTGACGTTAATTATCTGCCTCAATGACTGTCCCCTCATATTTAGAGGCAAGGTTTCTCACTGATCCCAGAGCTCTTTGTTTCAGCTAGTCTGGCGTGCCAGCTTGTTCCAGGGATTCATAGTCTCTGCTCTCCCCACACTGGGATTATAGGGAAACCACTGTGTCTGCCTGGCTCTGAAGTGGGTGCTGAAACTCATTTTAGAAAAGCGCAAAATATCCAGATGTTGTAGCACACCTTTAATCTCAAAACTGGGGAAAGGATCTCTGTTGAGTTGGAGGCCAGCCTGGTCTACATAGTGGGTGAGTTCCAGGACAGTCAGAACTACAAAGAGAAATGCTGTCTCTAAAGGAGAGAGAGAGAGAGAGAGAGAGAGAGAGAGAGAGAGAGAGAGAGAGAGGAGAAGGAAGGAAGGAAGGAAGGAAGGAAGGGAGAGAGGGAGGGAAGGAGGGAGGGAGGAAGGAAGGAAGGAAGATGTAAACTATAACCTAGCAATAACATATACATGGTTGTTTGCATATGAATGTTTAATATTATTCACAACAGTTTCGTGTTAATCAGCTAATGGGTGCATAAATGCCAGGGGTACACCCCTCTAGCTGGACATTATTCCTCCACAGAAAGAAATGCTAATCCAATCACAGCACAGTGAACCCTGGGAACCTTATAAGTGAAAGATGTCAGACACGAAAGCCGTGTACAATAGCCTGGCCTGTCTGTGATCTTACTCTCCGTCGCTTCAGTCCTTTGAGGTCAGCTGTGGTCCCAAAACAGAAAATAAAAATTGTAGAAATAAACAAAGCATAAGTTTTTAAGAAATTAATTACTATATATTGTGATAATTCTACTGGTTAGTTATTACACATTGTTGTTACTTTAATGAGGCTAACTTATCCAGTAAGTCTTATCATAGATGTGAATATCTATGTATATCTAGTATATCTAGGTAGGACTCCATCCTATCCGTAGTTTCAGACAAGCGCTGAGGGTCTTGGAACAGACCACGAGTAATGAAGAACCACTACACTGTATGGTTTGATTTAAACCATGTCCAGAGCAGACAAACCCTCAGGCAAAAAAAGTACATTAGTAGTTGCCAGGGGCTTGGGTAGGTCAGATTCCACGTCCAAACTTCCACCTGATACAATTCTCTTTCTGCCTGGAGGCTTTTTTTCACATTTTATATGGTACAAATCAGTGGATGAGAAATCCATTCAGCCTCCACGTATTTGAGAAAGCCTCTATTTCATCTTTACTTTAAGATACTGAGTCTAACCCGACAGTAGTTTTCTTCTAAGGTTCTAAAAAATGTTGCTGTGCTGTCTTTGGGTTGCACCCTGTGTTTCTGAGGAGGTTTCTCTAGTCATTATTATATAGTAAATATTTTTACCGTTTACCTCTGACTGATGTTCAGGGAAATCAAATCATTGATTTTCAAGGATTTTATTTTGATTTCCCATGGAATGATTTTGTTTTTCTTGGACTTGGGAAATTTTTTTGGAGATATTTGAACCTTTGAGTTTTCACCAAATGAAGAGGTCTGCCACCTTTGGGGAGTCATATATTGGGTCGCCTGTGTTTGTTCCACAGCGTATCAAAGCTCAGTTTTTCCCAGTCTGTCTTTCACATTCCTTCTGGATTGTCCCCATTGCTGTGTCTTCAAGTTCACTGGCCTTTCTTTGCAGAGTCTGTGTCTCTAGAAGTTTTGATTGAGCCTCTTGTATTGCCCATGTTCAGTGGTATACCAATAAACCAGATCTCCAAAACTAAACTGGACCAAACTGGGCTGGAGATCTAGCTAAGGGGTAGAGTTATCGTCTAACATACACAGGGTTTGGTTTCTAGGCCCTCTTTTTAAAAACAGACGAAGGGAAAGCCTGATATGCCGTGTTTGTCATGTGTAAACACGCATTGATTTAAAGCTCCTGCCCTGGTCTGGTTTCTCTTGCTGTGATAAACACGACAACCACAAGCAACAAGGGTAGGAAAGAGCTCACTTGGCTTCCCTCATTGAGGGAATTCAGGGCACGAACTCAAACAGGGCAGGAACCCAGAAGCAGGAGGCCATGGAGAAGTGCTGCCTGCTGCTTGATCCCTCTGGCTTGCTCAATTGCCTTCCTTCATTTTTTTTTTAATTTTACATATTTTTTAGTTTACTTTCCTATACACCCACCTATTTTAAAAGCAGCTGATAGGCTACACTCAGGAGGCAGAGGCAGGTGGATCTCTGAGTTCAAAGCCAGCCTGGTTTATATAGTGACCTTTGGGTAAGCCAAAGCTACATAGTAAAACCCTGTCTCAAGAAAGAAGATAAATAAAAGCAACCACTTAATATAAACCACTGAATTAAAAACCCAAACTGATCACAATAAGTGACATATTATCATCATTATGATTACAGAGACAACTGGACCTGTCTAATGTTCTTTTACCTTGGGGTTTTGAAACAACAATAACTGAAAATATGTAGCTGAGATGCTATCGCCATCATCATCATTGTTGTTATTCCTAAGGTAGTATATCTATTTTGTTTGAAGAGGAATCTGTTTTCCAGTTTTCAATCTGGATGTGAAGTAATGGAATGCTTCGACATGACCTCGGAATGACAGGGTAAATACCAGCTTACTCAGAAACTGTGAATGGATTAATATTTAGGTTTGTCTCCAGGGACTGTCTTATCTGTGTTGCCTTTAAGTCGGTCATCTGTCCTTGAGAAAACAAAGCACTAATCCCTACTCTGAAGAAGACACTACAATCCAAAAGAAACAACGTATCCTCACTTCTGCCAGGTGAGAAAAAGGAACCTGACATGGGGGAATAACAAGGTATCCTCACATCTGTGGAGCGAGAGAAAAGAGGAGCGAGAGAAAAGAACGGACGTACCAATCGTTTTTAGCGAGTTGACGGAATGGAGAGGGTCTATTATGCACAGTGTGATGGTGAAGAGTAAACAGCACTGCAGATCCCACGAGTCTTCGTTGAATTTCAGAACCACATACGCAATGGTGACAAACGCTATCCCAAAGCTAATCACTCCCGTCAGCAAAACCTGTGAACCAGTTCATCACACAGGGTCACATCTACCCAAATATAACAAGACTGCATTTACCCGCAATGAAAAACCATATCCTGGGGTACAGATATTTGTTACTTTATTATTTTTAATAATGTAAAATTTTATTTATTCTCTGAGGATGTCATGCATGCATACGATGTATTTTGGTCATGTTCACCATTTTATTCTTTTTAACTTTGTTTCTTCTTTTTTCTTCCTTCCTTTCTTTTTTTTTAATGTTATGTGTCCTACCTATTTGTATATCAGTAGCATGTGTACAACCTGCCTACCTGGTGCCCAGGGAGGCCAGAAAAGGGCATCAGATCCCTTGGAAATGATGTTACAGATGGTCGTGAGCTGCCATGTGGGTGCTGGGAACCAAACACAAGTCCTCTGGAAGACAGTCAGTGTCTTAACTACTGAGCCATGTCTCTAGCCATTACTTTATTATTTTTAACTGGCATAGAATTGTATAGAGTTTGAGGGTGCCCAAAGGTATACCCAGAGGACTCTAAATCAACACACCACAGATTCACACCCTGTAGACATGGTTACATGCCCTTAAGCCTAACAGGCAGAACGTAAATTCAAGACTGGTTTGCTCTACACGGTGAGTTCCAACCCAGCCAAAGCTACATAACTAAAAAGAGAATAAATGTACCCCCCCTCGAAAAGCATTTAAAAGTTAGAATTGAATAATAATGAAAACACGAAACATCAAAACATGAGATTGGGTAAAAGGTGAAAAAATAAACATTGAACATGCAAAACACCATAAAAATGCCACAAATCAACTAATTTTAATTCAATATGCTAGAAAGAGCAGAATTAAACTAAAATAGGGAAAACGTTCTCTAAAAACACAAATAAAATCGTGAAAGGAATGTAATTACAGAAAAGAAGATATGATAAATAAAGTCCCAGCAATTAAAAGAAGACACCGTCATGATGAAACCAGGTTAGGACCAGCACCCAGACCCAAATATTTCCAGACCCTCTTGTGACTTATGAGCTTCCGTTCACTTATGGGCAAATCTAACATGTTGTTTACTCAGATCCCAATGTAGCAGTCCCTCAGCAAACACTAATTCCACCCCCCCCACACACACACACACAGCCTGCCCCTCAACTCTTTTAAATTAGTTCTACAGAGCACTAATTTAAAGTGTTTTCTTACCTGCCATAACACATTCTTTACTATATAAAAGTCCACGTCCAAAGCAGCCACAAATACAATTAAAGGTAAAAAATAACAATAAAGTGAAAAACTTGGTGTTTTTAGAAGAGGGTAAACAATTTGGTGCACCTAAAGGAACAAATGCATGGAAAAATTAGTCTGTTGCTTGTGGTGGTTTTAAAGTGTGCCCCTCCGCCTCCGCCTCCCCCACACCGCCCCCCCACACCGTCACCCCCACCGTCACCGCCCGAAAAGATTCGTGTTTTGAGGACTTTGTTCCAGCAGGTGGCGCTATTGAGAGGTGTTTGGATCATGAGGATGCTAATTTCATCCTTGGGCTTTTAGGGTATGGACGCTGCAGGAAAGAAAGTCACAGATGTGGCGTTCTAGGGCGTATACTGTCCTGACCCCGGCCTTTTTAGCTCTTTCTGCCATGATGATGACCCATCCATCTCCCCACATACCACAGACATGAAGCCAAACAACAAACGACTGAAAATCGTGAAACCATGAGCCGAAAATCATCTTTCCTCCTTCTGGAATATTGTTGGTTCATTTGTTTGTTTGTTTTATTTTTATGTATATGAATGTTTTTGCTACATTTGTGTACATGCATACAGTGGCCCAGGAGGCCAGGGTTGGGTGTCAGATCCCTTAGAACTAAAATTATAGAGGGTTATGAGCTGTTATGAGTGTGTGCTGGGAACCAAACCCAGATCCTCTGCAAGAGTAACAAGTGCTCATAACCACTGAGTCATCTCGCCAGCCCTTCCTTTTCCACTCTTTCCTGCTTTTAAACTGATCTTCCCTGAAATATGTTACATGAACATGACTTAAAATTTAAAGGTGGTCCTTCCAAAAATGATATAATATCCCTTACCACTGATGTTACCTGAGATAATACTATGAAATTCCAAGAAAAAATATTAAGCTATTAGGTATTTATTTTAATATATCTATTATATGTTCTCACACGGATATTTGTGGCTTTGCAGTTATCTGCTTGGAATTGAAAAAAAAAAAAACATTCCAGTTAGTCAGCAGAGAAATCTGATGTTTAGATGGTGGTATAATCAGTTATATAAGGCATGGATGATGGAAGTTGTACATAAGTAATAAAAACAACAGTTGTGGGAGTGCTGTAAATGTTCCAATCTAACAACTGCATTGTCTAATTTCTCTGTGCCTCCATCTGCAGAGGGCTGGAGAGTGTACTGCCATCGAGTTCCTGCAAGAATGAGTGAGTTAAACTCAAGGATTAATGAGTTGAGTATAAAACACACGGTAGGCACTCAAATGGTGTTGGCTAGTGGGAGCGGAGGAACTTCAGGAGGGTGACAGGCTTCTGCAGACCTAGATAAAGGTGCTGCAGGTGTTATTTCCATCTCAAAAGATAAAACATTGAATGGAGACAACCTATTAATGTACATTGCATCGCTGTTAAGGCCAGGCATTAATAAGTTAAAAAAAAAAGGAGGAATATTTTCTTGTGGCTATATTGTGTATAATGCGTGCTTTATATCTGATCTGAGAGAAAGGGGCAATTATGTTTTATCATGAAATAACTGCTGCAGGGGATGGCAAGATGGCTTAATGGTTAAGAGCACTTGCTGCTCTTGCCAAGGACCAGGTGAAGTTCCCAACACCCACATGGTAGTCTGGCATGCATGCATGAAGCCCTGGGTTTGAGTCCCAGGACTGCAGAAGAGAAAAAACTTACACATTTGGAGTGGGTCTTGTTTGAGGTGCTCAACCTCTAACTTAGTATAACTTAGTAGGTATAGAGTACCTCGACAAAATGGTAAGCCAGCTGCCCTGTCACAAATCCTGACACAGAGAGAATCATCAAGACAAAGACCTCGGAATTCTTTAAAAGCATCTTTGAAAACCCTAAAAAATAAAAATACAAGTTATAATTTCAAAATAGTAATTATCCTATTTGATCATTATGCATTATATGCCTATGTCCAGTTGTACTGTAACCTACCACTATATATATATATAGCATGTCAATTAAAAATAAACCTTATTGAAAGAGAAAAATGATTATTTATATTTTCAAAATGATGTAATTAATTGTTAGTCTAGCTATTTAATTTTCAACTTCTGAGTCATAGTGTGTGTGAATAGTTAATAATTAGTACAAATGCTATTTGGGTTTAGGAAATTCTCTCTGCGCGCACACTTGTTGAACCGGTTCTCGCCCTCCACCTTATGTGGGTTCTGGGGATTGAACTCACGTAGACATGCTTGTGTGGGAAGTGCTTTTAACCCCTGAAATCACCTGGCTGGCCCACAAATACAATTTGTTAAGTGTCAGATACACATAATTAGGCACCGCTGACAGAATAATATGAAAAATGCTGAGGTTTCACAAGCCTTACACGTGCTTGCCCAGAAACGTGTTAGGGTCGCTCTATAGGCATCTTACCAAGGGGTTTGTTGGTGACAATTAATCAAAAGGCTGGACTTAGTATCCATGTACTTCATTTTATGTTAATAACCATTCATCCTATGCTAAAAATACACATACACCAGAATTTTCCTGGAAGACAGAGATACGTGAAACTGACTGCGGCACAAGGAACACCTTCTTCACAGGACTTGCCACTGTCTTGCTGCCTGTAAGTCTATTCTGTCTGTTCTTTCCCCTAGAGACAGGAGACAGACTATAATCCTATGCATCTGTGCATAAAGCAAGACCCACTGACAGTTCAGCTTCTTGCATCCTGCCTCCCAGCTTGAAGTTGAACCAAATCAGTAAATAATTATTGAATACTTCTTATGCTTAAGTTTAGGTAAAGTGATGGTATTACCGCTGTTTCTGCAATGCCCTTGATGCTGGCCACTTAACCGTTACATCCTCAGAGTGTATCTAGAGTCAGCAAAGCTCACGGTCACCAGGCCATTGTGGGTATCAAAGGAACCAAAGTCCTTAGATATTATATTAAAATCTCTAGACAAAGCAATTCACTCCCTAATAAACCCTAAAATGAAGATGCTCTTTGTACATATTTGTCTCATTATTTGGTCCTAGATGATCTCATCCTCCTGACTCCAGAAAAGGTTTTGGAGCAGGTGGTGTTTTTCCTAAGTAAATATTCTTTTACAGAGACCTAGAAACTTTCATCACAGAAGTTAACTGTGGAATAAGGCACCTGTGTTATTGAGTAGGCTACTTCATCTGGTATTCATGTAGGAATACTATTCACTACACCTGCTGGATTCTTAATCAATATTTAGGAGGCCTTTGTTTACAAAGTCCTCTCCAATTTTCTTCTAGGCAGGAAAAGTGGGTGGAGTAAAGAAAAATCCCATCAAAAGTCAAAATAGGGGCTGGAGGGATTGCTCAGTGGTTAAGAACACTTGCTGATCTTCCAGAGGACCCAGGTTCGGTTCCCAGCACTAGCATCCTTGGCAACTCACAAACAGCCATAACTACATAGTTTTAGGGACTCTACTGCTCTCTTGTGGCCTCTGTAGGCACGGCATGCACATGGTACATAGACATGTGTGCAAGCAAAACATTCCTACACCTATAATAAAATGAAATGCTTTTTTAAAAGCCATAATATGACATCAACTATGCAAATTGTGTCCTCTTTGTCTGTTTGCCAAGCAGTCTCCCCTCCTTTCAGATGTTTTATCAGGGTCGGCCTGGTCATGCAGGCAGCATCAGGATCTCCTTCTTCCTTATTAGTAGAGAATCCTGGCAATATCTTTATGTCAACACTCAACACATTGCCTCATGGATATTTGTTTGCCTGTCTCCCCCATGAGAAAGTTCCGTAATGGCAAGGACTGTCTTGGTCTCTTTAATGTACCACCCCCTTCCCGTGTCCAGCTAGTGTTACTGAATAAAGGGCTATACACAAGTGCTCCTTAGAAACTGAATGAAGCTGGCCTGACAGTCTCCACCGTCAGCTTAAGGTTTCCTTGGCTACTCTTGTAACGTAGCTGTGACCTCCTGCTATGGTGAGAAAAGTCTCTAATGACAGAGGAGTTCCGCATGACGACTTACCTCCCAAAACAATAATGGCACTTATGATGATTGTGAAATGCTTCTGGACCACAAAGTAATCGGCTGGTCTCCCACAGAGCAAGTCAGGCTTGCTGTCATCTTTTGCTGCCCAGAAAGAAAAATTGTTGCTTGGCATTGCTTTTCCAGAAGTAAATTGCACTTATGGCAGACTACCCTGCTGTAAAATGGGAAAAATAAGAGGGGGAAGAGGCATGAGTCCTACTAGGGTTCAGTTTATTCACGTTCCACATACTGAGGGGGTAGCACACTCAGATATGAGCACATTTATGCCCTCACTTGCCTTCATTTAGAGGGAACTAGCAGCAGCATTTGTGTTCCTTCATCATCATGCTACCTACACATGGGAAGGAGTGGGTCGGGACTGGACTGGACTCTTTTGGTGGTGACCTGATCATGTGCTTGCTTGGAGCTGTAAGTCTCTCAAAGGCCAAGACTGAGTCTTTGACTTTCATTAAGGCCGTAAACATGGTTCACAGCACAAGCCAGGTTCACCATAAACACTGGCAAGTGAACTCTCTGAGGGGGAAGGAGCAAGGACAAACGCCACGCTCCTCATTCTCTGTGAGTACAAGCCACTCTGGAATGCCACTTGGCTACTTCAGCTTCAAAACGTATTGCTCCTCTCTCAGCAAATGAGAGGCAATGTAAGTGGCATCACGTCAGCTAAAGTTGGGAGGGAAGACAAGGATAAACAATATTTTTTAAAAAACTAAAAAGACGGAGGTTGAGGTTTGATTGTGTGAAATCTTTGACTGCGGTAGAAAAGGCAGTTCTTGCTCCAGGCCATGAAGCCTGACCACAGGCAGTGGCTTGTCATGTCAACAACAGGCAGGATACCGTTCCTAATGGCCCCCACTGAACTGGTGTCCTGTGTAAGACATAGCAGGCATAATGATCTGACAGTCCTGAGAAGGATTTGGCTTCGTCTGTTTCCCTTATAGCGAGCCTTAATCTAAGAGCTCCTGAAGATTCCTGAAGTCATCTCAAGAATAGCCTTCATCTTTTGCCCCGTTTTATACTCATTTGCTACCACTCACAAAGATTCTAAAGTAAAGAAGGAAATGGTCACTACATCTTTAAGTTACTCCCAACCCTCAAGCAGCTAGTCGGGTCCTTCTCTCCAAGCCCTCATCCCCATGTGAATGACCTTAAAATCAAGTTCTTTCCCAGAGGTGTGTTCTTCCAAGCCTAAAATGGCTCAGAGTTGACATCAAACTGTAGCCTTTCAAAATCTCAAAGAACAGGGCTCAGTTGGGCTCAGCTCTGCCTCTGTTTGCCAGGGCCAGTACCACCAACTGATACCAAAGCCAACGCTGTTTCCATGCTGACCTCCCATTGGTTTCCTGCCAACCTGATTTTGTTCTGATTGGCTGCACTCATGATTCCCACCTCCAATCCCAAAGGAGTTATGGAGTTGCAGAGAAGCAGGCTTTTAATGGCCACATTGTAATCCGCACCAACAACTGTTTTTAACTGATTTCCTTTGCCTGACATAACAGAAGAGGGGGGCAAAGACAGCCACATAGACAGAACCTCTGGGGTTTTAAAAACTCACGTGATGTTTTTCTTATGCCAATTCTTTCCAGCTCAGCCCTGATCCCCTTCAACACTACTGCCTTCTCGCTCATTTCTGAAATTAGCTCTTAGCTGGCACACAAAATAATGGGTGGGGTTCATTGTAACATCTTAGTACATATGTATATTGCTCACATTTGTGCCTCTCACTATCCTCCCACATCCCTACTCCCCACTTTCTGCCTTCACGTTGTATCCATCTTACCCACCCATCACCCTTCTGGTCCCTTTAGACTTCTTCCCCTACCCAGACCCCCTGATTCATTCTTATTTACCATTTTCCTTTTCTTCCTCTTCTATTTACTAACGTCCTCATTTTTCTCCATTCAACTCATCACTGAATTTCAGTTCTTCACTTGAAGGGACAATGTCACCCACTCTCCTGAGGATGTATTCTTCAACAAATTCTTGATGCCTAGTATGTGAATCTAAATCGCTACAAACAAACACTGTTAAATATTTCTTCGGTGAATGCTAGTCATCAACTTGCAGTTTGCTGCTGTGGAAGAGTTACACTGTGTGCAGGGAACTCTTTTTCTTTCTGTTCCTTACTAATCAAGGTTGCTGTGTGTGCTCTTCCAGAGAGCGCCAAGGGGAGCATCACACAGGAAGCTGGCTGAATCCGTCATCTGCATCACTTCTGTGGTAAAGAAGCTCTGAAGGATGTCTCGATTCTTAGAGACTGAATTTCAGTCAGAAGTTCTATATCTGCCCCTGAATTACAACTAATACATCCATGCCACCCTAAAATGATCTCTGCAACTTTCTTTGTATCGATGTGTGGTTTTCCCTCACGTGATGCTCACCTCACCAGGCTAGCCCTCGCTTTCACTTTCCATTGTTGGTTGTCACTTTGGCGCCACTGAGGCTGCACTGCCTCAGGTCATTTTAAACTATGCCCTTCCCTGCTGGGTTTAGCTCCTGTTTCCCCGTTGTGATTCCCCTGCCCCCAAGCTCTCTTGGTTCTCCCAAACCTTGTAACTACAACTCTTGTAGTTTTAAGTTTCAAGACTCAGGTTCTCCAAGTCCACGTACCTCAAGAAACTTGGACAAAATGTATATTTAACATGGTTCTGAAAGTCAGAGGGCACCTAACTAAGCTGCAAGGATGATGGGGCTACTCTTCATTATAACCACCCTGGTGGAGAACCTTTTCAAAAGCAATAATACATTTATATTTTGCAATTGGAAAGCAGTGTCCAGGCAGATCTCCAAGTTCGAGGTCAGCCTGGTCTACAGAGCAAGTTCCAGGACAGCCAGGGATACACAGAGAAACCCTGTCTCAAAATAATAAATACATTTTATATTTCACCATTCTGAGTAAAGCCAGCAGAAGTAGGTGTTGATAGCCCTGGAGAGCCCAGAGGCTAAAGTGTGCTTTCCCCCTCGTGTCTTCTGACAACGGACTATGCTATGTGACTGAGACAGGCCTGTAATACAGATGAGTCACTCATAGCTTTCCATCTGCCAATAAGTTGATTTGGTCAAGGGTGGACATGGGACTGCAGACAGGTGGGTCAGACAGGTCCTTGGGCTGGCATATGCCACTGCTGAGAAAGGGAATGGACGTGGCAGTTCCATCACCATCTGGGTAGAGTCGCGGTGACTATCCCAGGATACCTGGAAACCATCTTCCCGGTCATAGGGGGGAAAAAACCAATTATCTAAGAACCCCGAGGTACCATCTGAGGTGTTTCCGATTTCTTAACAGATGCCCCTGTAGTTCTGCCCTGGGTTTTATCTTTTCCCAGAAATCACTTCTTGGGTTAATAACTTTTGTCACCTAGAAAGGCTGGAAAATGAAGAGTAACTTCCATTTCAAACCCAGTAGCTACTGGCACATTTATTTACTTGAAAGTTGGTGGGTTCCTTTCTTCAGCTCAGATCCTTCCCCTCACACTTTAGAAAAGGCAAGGTGGCACTGGGACCAAGTTGGGACATACTCACTGAATCTTTGGGCCATTATTTAACATCATAAAAAAAAAAAAACAAAAAACAAAAAAAAACCACCTTCCTGTGGCCTCATAACAAGAGCCTTTTTCTCTAGCCTGCAGGGACATTCCCCTTTCTCATTAGCCCCCTCTAGTAGCCTCACAGAGGATCTGAAGGCTCTGATCGGGCTGTACTTCAGTCCTGGAGGCTGTCACTCATGCTCCCCGCTAGACTTTTGCAGCTTCAACCCACCATCCACTTTCAAAACCAAAGCCACAGATTCTAGGCTTTGTTATGTCACCTGACATTTCTGAGTTTCAACGTGTGTGTTATATTTTACTGTGTAACCAATAAATATAAAACTGGGTGACTTAAAACGAAACATTTATTTATCTCAGAAGTCCGTGATTCTGAGAGGAGTCAGCAGAGAATGTTGCCTCCGCTCCATACAGCATCCAATAGTGGCTTGATTGGAGAATCCACTTTCATGATGACTTCACTCCTAGTCAGGCAGGCTGGCAGCAGCAGTTAGATGGGTGGAGAAGGAGTCAGAGCTGCAAGCTTGTGAATCTTTGAGAGACCTTTCCTTGTTGGTCTTCTCACAGGCCGGTTTCTAAGGTTACCGGTATCTTAAGAGATTGAGGCAGAAGCCACATCACCTCTTATAACGTAGCATTGGAAAAGACACAGAATCACTTTCAACTGTAGTCATGGGCTCCCCAGATTCAAGACAGCTCAGAGATTCCTATTTCTACACTAGGAATGACAGGACCACACAGCGAGAGGAGTATGTGAAATGGGAGACTAGGTGATCTTGGACAGTATAATCCGCTGCATATTAGACAAATACTGGGTAACTGTCAGCCTTTTTACAAGGGATTTTCTGCTAAAATAAATATCAGTCGGCCTCCACTGGTCGAGTGCAGTAGTTGTCAAAGATTAGATACTACAACCATACTGGTGTATGATAAAGTTTTATCATCTGTGGTAAAATGAGAAAAGTAAATCTCACATAAAGTCCTCTGCATCATCTAAGCCTAAGTGTGGCTTAGAATGAAAATAGCTGCAACAAAGAAGGGCACCTGGCCTCTTCCCAATGACGCCAGTGCTGGGATGCACAGAGTGTCCTGGAAAACACACATTAAAAGGGCCCAAAACAGATCTCCTTCTGCCAGCAGTGAACGCTCAGGGTGTCTCGCAGATAGACTAGCATCAGTGCTTCTGCTGAATGGGAAATGCTCACAGAGTGAAAAGATCTCAAAAGTGAGATTTGGGGACACATTTACACTAAGATTATCTCAATGCCGTGACCAAGAGAACATGGCCTGGCGAGTGTTACTAAAAGGCTTCCTTGTTTTCTTTCTCCTCTTTTTTTGCTGTTAAAACATCTTTTGTTACATCTTTTGATAAGGGACAGAACTTGCTATTTTAATAATGTTATATTAATATCCTACCTTTATATTTTTACATTTTTTATGATCAACGAAACATAAACCTAAAGAACTACCATCTAGAACTAATTATAACACTGAATTAGCCTTTGACTACCTTTTGAATACTATGGAGGCATTCCTGAATTGTTAACATGAGCTTTTAAAAACATAACTA